GGAAAAAATACCAACACCAATACTCTTAACTTACTGAGCAAAATCTTCACATTGCCCCAGCGCCGACCTCCGCCGCACTAACATACTTTGAGAAGATGAGTGAAATCTTGATATGTGAGAAAATATTTGGTGTTAATTATTTGAGTAGAATTTTAGTTTAAAAAATAATAATAAAATCTCTCCAATTAAAATAATAATAATATTTAAATAATTATTTGGATAATTATTTGGGTAGGATTTTAGTTTTATGACAATAAAAAATAGAGTAATTAGTCTAGTAATTTTGTAATGAGATAAATTCTTTAGTAAATATTTTAACAATTTTGTGACGGGATAGTCATATAGTAATTATTTTAGTAGTTTTGTGATGAATAAATTTCATAACAATTATTTCCTCACAATTTATATAAACTGTGACCAACCATATAATTTGTAACAAAAATTATAATTGATTTGCAATAAAATGAATTTCATAGCAATTATCCTTAGGAAGAATTGATTTATATATTTATTTATTTATTTATTTATAGTGTGAAGATTATTGAGAGTTTGGTTGAAATTTGACGGCAGAATATTGAGTAGAAAAAAATAATGTGATTTAAATAAAAAATATTTGAAAAGATTTTTTTTTATTTATAAAATACAAGTATTTATAGGAAAAATTACACTAAGTTATATTATTTATATATATTATGTTGTTGGAATGTGTGTATCATTGTAATAGTGATAAATCATTTAATTTTTGTTTTGTTAAATTTTATTAATTGCATTTTTAAATCATATTAATTTTTAATTGTATATCATTCCAGTAGTAAGTAATCAATCATTTTTGTTTTACTTTGATGAATTTTATTAATTAGATTATTAAATCATATTAATTTAATTGTCTGTAATATATATATATATATAAATCAATTTTATAGAGTTTAGTTCATCGTTGAAACTTGAAGGTAGAATATTGAGTGGAAGAAAATAATGTGATTTAGAAAAATAAAAAAAATTGAAAAAAATTGTGCTTTCGTATTTATAAAATGCAAGTATATTTATAGGAAAAATTACACTAAGTTATATTATTTATATATATATTATGTGTTGGAAAATTTGTGTATCATTGTAATAGTGATCAATTATTTCAATTTTTGTCTTGTTAAATTTTATTAATTGCATTGTTAAATCATATCCATTTTTAATTGTATATCATTGTAGTAGTAATCAATCATTTTTATTTTTACTTTGATGAACTTTATTAATTAGATTGTTAAATCATATCAATTTAATTATGTGTCATTGTAAAAGTGATTAATCATTTCAATTTTTATCTCGTTGAATTTTATTAATTCTATTGTTAAATCATTTCAATTTAATCATGTGTCATTTTAATGGTGATTAATCATTTTAATTTTTGTCTTATTGAACTTTATGTAATTATTGTTAGATCACATCACATTTTAACATTGCACTATATAGTTTTGAAAATACTTGCGTTGTTATATTACATCATTATTATAATGTGCGCCATTAAATTTATTTTCAATAAATTTATTATTGTATTACTTATATACATATATTTTAACATATTTTATTATTATTTCACATCATTATTACTACCATATTATTAGTTTAATATAATATAAATTATAAATACTCTATATTGACAAAATTTCTACACTGTGTTTCATTTTAAAAAAAAAATTGTAACAAACAAATTTGTTACAAAAAAATGTTAAACTCATCTTAAACTATTTCAAATTCAGACTCCAATGAGGTAGATGCAGTTTCTTCAATTTGTGGATACAATTTTAACGTCTTCAAGATATTATTACAAACCATGACGAGAAAAATTAATTTTACCGAAAAATACACATCAAGAAAAATCGTGAAAATGGTCATAATAATTTGTTTAATGATTATTTTTTTGAAAATCTTGTGTATACAAATCTTCAATTTTTTCGTAGATATCAAATAAGGATGCATGTCTTTCTATGATTATAGACTGTTTAACAAAAGTGAGTTCTTCCAACAACATCGAGATGCAACATAAAGTCTTGGTCTATCTCAATTACAAAAATGTGCTGCTGTTTTGCATGGGTTAGCTTTTGGTGCAGCTGTTGATATTGTAGATAACTATATTCGTATTTGAAAGATCAAAACAAGAATGTGTGTAAAAAACTTTGTTGAATGAGTCATTCAATATTTGGTGAAAAAATATTTTAGAAGATTAAATACAATAGACCTACAACGATTGTTGTATGTTGCAGAATAACGTGGTTTTCTAAAAATAACGAGAAATGTTGATTGCATATAATGAGAGTGAAAAAATTGTCCATTTGTTTGGAAATGCCAATATTCACATGGAGATCATGGAAAAGCAACGATCATTTTAGAAGCCGTGTTTTTGGTATTTTGCAAACTCGATTTACTATTATTCAATGTCCGTAACTCATTTAGGACATTAATTTAATTGGTAAGATAATGAAAATATGTATTATTTTACATAATATGATCGTTAAAACTTTAAAAATACATATATGCATTATTATGATATATCTCAATTTGAAAAGTAGAGATAGATAATACTACTAATTCAAGTCGGTCATATTCTACAAATAAAAATGGCAAAATAATTGAGTTTCTAAAAATTAAAATGGGACTTCCAAACCGAAAAGTACATAGGCAACTCACAGATTTGTTTGAAAATATATGAAAGAAGTTTTGATTAGATGAATAATTATGTTATTTATTTTTATTTTAATTTTAACTATTTCTATTGCAATTGTAGTGTATTAATTGCATCTTGGAAAATTTTAATTATTATTTCTATATTTCATTTTATCATATAACCAATAATAACTGTCATAATAATAATAAAAAAATTGATAATAAGATTAAAAATAAGTTACAACTAGACTTAATTAAATATATGTATATATAATATAAAAAATATTGTTCCAATAAATTGTTGATAAATCAAATTATTGATAAATAATATTTTATTAATTACTTACAAAATAAAAAAGCATAATCTCAAAAATAAAAACAATATATGTATTATATAAATGTGAAAATAAAAAATTGAAATGTGCTTCTTTATTGTAATTATAAAATAGATAATGATATTTTAGATGATGAGACAGAAAAGGAAATTGCCACGAAAGTATTCAGAAATTCATCTAAACAATTCATAAAGACCGTGCAAAATGCAAACGAATATGATACAATGCAAATAGTGCACTCTACTTATACGTATTATATACAAAGAAAAACAAATAAAATGGTCATCATATTTGAGTAGAAGCCAAAAATGTCATCAAATGTCTATCATCTTTCATTGTCTACCCAAAAATCAAATGATGATGTGTCCAACTTAGAAGTTGATCCATTGATGATGCGGTTTTGAAAAGTCAGGATATATAACATTTTGAAATTAATATTTAGGATTTAATGAATTTTTTTAAAAAAAAATAAAAAAAAATAATAATAATAGCAGTCCAACAATTAAAACTATTCCACAAGTTCAAAATTATTGAATTAGTTTATTACTAAAGATACTCTTAAAAATTAATTTTTTAAAAACAAATAATATAAATTGAAATACTTTAACATAATAGTTTTTTTTCTAAAAAAAAGTATTATAAATAAATAGTATTAAAAATAAAAAATATATATCTATGTAAGTTAAAATTTCAAGGTTTGTTTGTTTAATGAAATGATTTGAAAATATATTTTTTATATGAACTATAATGAATTTATAAATAATATAAAAATAATAAGTATGGATAATATATTAAATTTTTTTAAAAAGAAATTATGCACTTTTTTAAAAATATAATTTCCAAAAAAAAACATTTTATCAGTTTGGCTCATAATACACTTGTTTATACAAATTTTTTGGCATTATTAGGTTTTTTTTCAAACAATAATTATTTATTGATACGGTTCTCAATATATTTTTTTCTAACAAAATAATAATTTTATTTTGTTATTTTTCTTTATTTCAAAATTAATAGTTTCATTTTTATTTTAATAACAAATTCCCACAATTTTACAAAATAATTTCAATTTTTTTACAATAATTACATAAATAAAATAAGAGTATTTTAATCTTTTAGAAAAAATTTTATACCACTATTCATATAATATTGTTATTCTTTAATTCTCATTATTTTGGCACAGAGGGAATATATTACTATATATTTTATTTTTTTAATATTAAATCAAAATATTATTTTTTTATATTATCGACATAATTCTTCGTGTTTTATATTAAAAAATATTTTAAATTAAAATATAAAAAAGACCCTTTAGTCTTACAATTATTTTTTATAAAAAATATAATATTGAAATTGATTTGAATTACGGTATTTAATTTTAAATTTTTGTTTAAATAGTATTTTAATTGATACTTTATTGTAAAAAATAGTATATTGTTATTGAGATTTAAAATAATAAAAGAATCAACTATAATTTTTTTCATAAAATATTAAATTAAATATGTATTTATTATATTATCATTACTCCCTTGGTCTCCCAAGTTGTTGCCGTAAATCCAACATTCTATTTCACTTTCATTTTTTTAAAATAATTTTAATTTCATTTTAAATTTTTTTAATTATTTATTTTTAATTTTAATTTAATTAATTAATTATCTTAATTTTAATTTATAATTAATTATATAAGAGGATTATTATTTTTAATAATACATTTTTAATTATTAACGCTTACTAAAATTTCATATGTGTACAGTGTAACAGACAAGTATACGGGTATATGGGACAGAGGGAGTATTATTCAAAACTTCCAAATTTAAAATTATTGTTAAATGGTCCCCTAGTCTCTCTACGCTGAATTATAAAAGAAAAATATACGAAAATGGTTTGATCGTTATGCGTATAAATGTAGCAGTAGTAATGTGCTATCGAAAGTCCATTTTCTGAAGCTGATTGTAATGTAGGAGTAAAATAAACTGTGCCATATGCTATCATTCATTATCAGTTGAGACGAAGATAGGGGAGCCACTGACCTTGACTGACTGACTGTGGCATCTGGGCGGGCTTTGTGGTTGGTTAGGTTGAGTGACAGCGATTTGTTGTTGAGCGGGCGCCACGCATCCATCCACACCCAAATCAAACCCCACCAGGCCACCACACACTCGCCTCGGACTGGATTGGAACTCTGGAAATACCTTTATTGTGTCCTTTCTGTGATCCAAACGGCCAGGTTTCTCCTTGTTCCCAATTTTGATTCGTGTATGTATTTTTAATTTTTGTGGTTGGTGTGGTTCAGTTTCAAATCGCCTTGTTTAATTCTCTGTACCCCTGCCATTTGCTTATTGTTTATAGGAAGTGGTGAGCTGTGCGAGCTGAGTCGACCGCTGACCGTACAGTAAGCGATATCAATTTTGATTGCTGCTGCTGCTGATGCCATTGCCTAAACCCTAAAACATTACTGTAGCATTTGTTTGTTTATTTAATGCCACAATGCATTCCAGGTGGAACCGTTGAACCAAGAGAAAGGAGGCGCAGCAGGAGCAGGGGATCGCCATCGCACTCGAGGTTTTCCGCATCTCCAGCGCGCGAGACGATACTCTATGTTTATTCTGTGATACACAGAATGCTCTCATATCTTTAATCATCCACCCAGGCTAGGGTGAGGCGTGGAGGTATTTTTGTAGTTCTTAATTAGATCACCAATTTGATGGCTTCTGAAGATGTAAAAGCAACCGATTCGGCGGTGTCTAAGATTGTTAACTTCGCGGAGGAGGCGAAGCTCGCCAGGGAAGATATCAGACCTACGAAGTATCAAGTTTACAGTGTTTGCAAATCTCTCATCGCCGGTGGTGTCGCTGGAGGAGTGTAAGTTCTCTACTTGTTTATGCATTTCAACTACTATCCCATTTTACTGCAAAGTTTTCTTCAATTTCTTTAATCTACGTGAAACAGGAAACTGAACTTGAACACTTCAAACCAAGAAAATGTTCACCAGATACTTTAAATCTAAATCCTGCATCAGCTAACACACTCTTTTATGATTTTTTACTTTTTGTTGTGCTCCGCGTCACAATCAGTCATGCATCCCAAATATTGAAGTAGGAGCTTGTAGGTAATCTAATCTATTGTCCTGCACAATTAAAGATAGTACAAGGAAATTGAATTTGAAGATAGATGGGCTTAATTTCTCTCCAAATCTCTGGATCTATTATGTTATGAATGTCATGTAGAAAACATTCATGTTTTGAGATTGTGGATCAATGGAAGATCTATTATGTTATGAATGTCATGTAGAAAACATTCATGTTTTGAGATTGTGGATCAATGGAAGCCTATAGCTTCATGTGGGGTATGGCAGAACAGGAAATTGTCACAGATTTTATGCACCAGCCCATTGTTGACAATAAATACACATTGTACAATGAAATCTGAGCCAGTGTAAAACTAAAACCTAAATCATACACAAGAACTTGGTAACCAGCTCAGAAACAATGTATTCTAGGGAGGTTGCATATCTCACTTTAGACTTGATACAACTCACACCATATAAGAAACCCAAAAGACCACATGATTAACCACCAATAAGGATCCTCAAGCACACTTTTTGGAAGAAAGACAGCGTCTTGACTAGGTCTAACACACCGGACACTCCCTCCTTCAAGCTGGTGAATATGTTACTTTGACTACCTTGATCTACCTCAATGATTTGTTGATGGTTTTTCCATGTAAAATTTACACAAATGTGGTGAATGTGTGCTTGAAAAACTGCCTACTACCTAGTAGGTGCAAGAACAATCCTAGATATAACGTTTAAAGTCCTCTGCAAGGCCATACACAACATGGAAGTTCAAGGTCTCTCAGTAGACACAAAAGAATCTTTGAAATACTGAATGCCCTACTGATATTTCGTCATGCCTTGTGTAACGATTGAAATGTTTCCTAAAGCATAGGAGTCTTATTCTGGGTATTAGATGGAAATATTCTTTCCTGTATTCAAGTCACCTTGTTCGACCTGATAACATCACACAATGCCAAAGTTTCATCGTTAACAATGAGAATACAGGAAAGAATATTGCTGTATTGATTAGATTTTCTTAGAATATTCAAAAAACTCTGGTTGTATTTTGTCATGCTGCTAGTCTGATTATGCATAAATAAATTTTCACATGATAACTTACTGCATGTGTGTTGCAGATCCCGAACTGCTGTAGCACCTTTGGAGCGACTAAAAATTTTGCTTCAGGTTAGTTTGCAACTTAGCAGCAAATTAAGTCCTGTTTTGTTAGATATATGTGTGTGTGTGTGCGCGTGTGTGCAGATTGCAGAAAGAGTGATCATTCTTTGAACTTTTTCATTTTCTAATGATGAATTGATATAGCATTTATTCCCAAATGCTTTGATTTACTTCCATTGCTTTAAAAGATATGCTTTGGGAAATTACTGGCTTCCTTGATTTCTTTCGTTTGCACCACCTCTTATATTGCCGTTGGATTCTCATCATTTCAGGTTCAAAATCCTCACAACATTAAATACAATGGCACTGTCCAAGGCTTGAAGTACATATGGAGAACCGAGGGCTTCAGGGGATTGTTCAAAGGCAATGGCACTAATTGTGCTCGAATAGTCCCTAATTCAGCAGTAAAATTCTTCAGCTACGAGCAAGCTTCCAAGTATGGATCGTTGAATATTTTTGGAATTTCTTAAACTGTGTTCAAAGTTAGCTTAAGGTTCATCAGCTCTTTGAGGTTTCCAACTTATGGGTTAAAATCTTGTACAGAACTACCATGATCATCCTGTTCAGATAGCAGTAGTGTATCATTTTGCTACTTTTCTTGTGTTCTTTCAAATCAAACGCATTCAGTTTACCATGTTGGTTTGGCGCAACCAGATGTTAATCTTAGGCAATGCTCTCAGAATATCGACAGCTATGTCTAGTTGGATAAGTTTGTCATTTCCATTTGCCATCAATTAATAATGTTATTTGTGATGAAACAGGGGCATACTATATATGTACCGGCAGCAAACTGGCAATGGTATGACTTTCATTATTACTGAATATTTTTTAGAGTCCACTGCCTCGTTGGCTGAGTATTAAATTTGTAGGCTAGGTAAATCCATAGCGTCATTTCATGACTTTTATCCTTTATTGGGCAATGAGTTTTACTTAGGTGGATAAATATCTCTGGTCATTGACACAATTTGGTTTTAGTGCTATACTGAAATAAAAACCTTTCTTATCACTGCCTTTCATTTGTTTGATAACCGATATAGTATTGTTTTATTGGAGACATCTTATTTATTTATTTATCGTTATTGTTATGATCTATATTTGTAGAGGATGCTCAGCTGACTCCTTTATTGCGACTGGGTGCTGGAGCTTGTGCTGGAATAATTGCCATGTCTGCTACATACCCAATGGACATGGTTCGAGGCAGAATCACCGTGCAGGTTTTGTATATCCTCTTAATAGTGAACCCTCTGGAAGTAGTTGTGCGTTTTGCCTTCTGTCAGCTTTATAACCAAATTGCTTCCTTCATTGCAGACAGAGAAGTCTGCCTATCAATACAGAGGAATGTTTCATGCCTTGTCAACTGTGCTTCGTGAGGAAGGCTTCCGCGCACTGTACAGGGGTTGGCTTCCTTCTGTAATAGGAGTTGTAAGTTCCGGAATACTTCACATGTAGTTCTTGTGGTAGATAAAACGATTCATTTATCAAGAATGAATGTAGATAGTTAGTGCATACGTTGAGGTTTATATTTTCCTGTGGATTCTGTGCCTATAAAAATCGACTCAATGTCTGTATAATTTGGAAGATTTTTCTGTGGTTTCGGTGAAATTATATGTATTCACATATTTTCCGGTTTCTTCTCACTGTTAACCAATTATGCCCTCTATTTGTTGGCAGGTTCCGTATGTAGGTCTGAACTTTGCTGTGTATGAATCCCTTAAAGACTGGCTGGTTAAATCCAAACCCTTTGGGCTAGTTGAAGACAATGAATTGGGTGTAGTGACAAGGCTTGCGTGCGGGGCTGCTGCAGGCACCGTTGGACAGACTGTCGCCTACCCCCTTGATGTGATTCGTCGAAGGATGCAAATGGTGGGGTGGAATCATGCTGCTTCGATCGTAGCTGGTGATGGGAGGAGCCAAGCTTCCCTGGAATACTCTGGCATGATCGATGCTTTCAGGAAGACTGTGCGACACGAGGGCTTCCGAGCATTGTACAAAGGCTTGGTCCCCAATTCGGTGAAGGTTAGGCTCCCCCACCCCCACCATGATCTTAATATTACTCTTCATTACTCTCATTACAGTCCCTAAGGAAACTCAAGTCGCAATGGTTTTTCTGCAGGTTGTGCCGTCGATAGCCATTGCTTTTGTGACATATGAACAAGTGAAGGAGTTATTAGGGGTAGAGATTAGAATATCCGACTGACTGATGGGCGGCATGTGTGTATTCGCCGCCGCCACCATTACATGTTTGCAGCGCTGCATTTGTTAGTTATCCTCCTTCCTCACCCACAAACTGCTCAATGGATGGATCCCTCAATAAGTAATGGTTTTGTTTTATGTTGCAACAATAGATACATACATACATATATATATATATATAGTTTGATGAACCTCTCGTGTAGTGAGCTTTACAATTTTGGAAGAATTTCTTCTACCATCATATGTTGTGTTGATCTTCAAGAATCCTTCATTATCACTGTTTACCATTCCATGCATGTACATGTATAATGCGTGTATATATATATATTTACACTGCAACTATCTATGTCTATACAGCAGTCAGTCATAACCATTTTACAAATAATACATACATGAACAGAAGGAGCTGCTCTTCTTCTGCTGCAGATGCAACAACAACAACAACAAAGAGAGAAATCAACCAAGTATCCCTCTCTGCCTGGTTCGTCTCTATTCACTATTTCTCTATTGCCTTGCCTAGCTCACATTTTCCTGCCATGCCTGCAATGAAAAACCAAACCAGAATCGGCAAACCTATGTATGTATGTCTTATGAATACGAATAAAAGGTCATATTGAATTTCAAGGCATCCATAACCATCATCCATACCTGCAATCCCTTATTTTTGTTGTTGTGTTTGCCGTCTGCCTCCCTGCTGCTCGAATTTCATTCACCTCTCGCCTTCTCGATCTAGATCTCGTCCGAATGTTAGTCTTATTGTTGATGCTTTCGCCTGTAGCTCCTCCAGCTCTATGTCTGCCATTGCTAATTTTTCTCTTCTCGATTCTGTCTTCCAAATTCTGGCACTCTTCGTCGGAAATGGATAGGGATGAGAGTATGACGGCGAGGTTCAGGCCAGCGAGGACGGCGGAGGACCTTCCGAAGCCTTCCTCCTCCACGCCTTCTCCGACGTTGTCGTCTTCGACCTTGCCGCAATCTAAATTCAACTTAGCAGATTCCGCCATGCCTATTGGCCCGCTCCTCCTTGTTAAATCGAGGACCGACAAGACGGATTCTGAATTTCGCAGGAGAAAATATGGAGGATCAAATAAGGCTGAATGAATTAGTTTAGTTATAGTAATAAAATCAATGGATCAAACAGTCAGTCAGCCCTGGCCTTGGAGTTGGCCTGCCAAAAGCGAAAAAGCAAAAGAACAAAGGCTAAAGGTGAAGGAAGGAACGGAGGGAGGGAGGCAGGCAGAGAAGCTATTTAAAGAGGTTATGTGTATTTTCCCCACTATTTTCGTCCTCTGTTAACTGAAAAATATATGATGGTTTGTTTGTTTGTTGATTGAGGGAGGAGAGAATCGAAGGAAATCAATGATCAATCGTGCAAAATTGTTGATGGTTGGATTGATCCATTGATGGATTTGATTATTCGTGTCTCGCCGCTCTGTCGCAGTCGCACTCAGTCAGTCCACTCTCTCCCCCTCTCTCTCCCCTTCAGTTTCAACTTTCAACCACAGAGAGGAGGAGAATTCGGAGTAGGGTACGTGCACTGCAAGTTTATTTTATTATTATTATTATTATTAATCTTTTTAAAATACACTCTAATTTAGAATGAAAAGGTAGGATATTTCTTTTGTTTGTGTGGAGATAATATATTTACTAAATAAAAAGATAAAAATTGTCGTTTACTTTTTGAATTAAAAAAGACGAAAGTATTCCTATTAGTACTGTGTGATAAATAATACAATTATTAAATTAAAAAATAATAACTTTAAAATAAAAAATGCCAACCTTGGACTGAAGTATAGCTCGTATAAAAAATAAATAAATTAATCAAAACTCTAAACAAACATCTATGATACCTAAAACATTTAATGGACTAGATATAATATTACTAAAACATAAATTATTGATATCTATTTATTTCAAATGTAAAAGTAAATCAACTACACATGTTATAGGCCGATGCGAGTTTTTCTACAATGATCCATTCTTTGATGCATGGAGACCATACAATTTCCCAAATTACATTTCTATTTGAGGAGGGAGGAAGAAGAAAAAGAAAAAGAAGATAGCATCGTTGCTGCAGCAGCTCAAACACATGTATATATTCTCCATTCATTGCACTGCTACTTTACTTCACCTCCCATTCAATTTTGTATGGGAAAGTCTAGCCACTGCCTTATTTCTTGACGTGTAACAAAGCAATATTCAAGTCCCCCTATAACAAGAATAGTGTCGAGTCTCGTTCCCTCCGGTCATTCATTCATTCCTACGGCCCCTCTCCCCGACTGCCTATAATGCAACACATGCTTGACTACTTCATAGAACGAAACCACAATCCCTACCGATGGCCCTGTCCGAGCAACCCGAGCGCCAGCACCTGCAAATAGTCCTCTGATTCCTCCATCTCTGAATCATATGCAAATTTGAGGAATCAAGTCGATCACATTTGCCCCAAAGCATAACAAGACAAACCAAAATATTGCGTGATTTTACCTCCAGATTTCAATCAGAGTTTTTCTTGTTGTCATGCTCAATACTCGTCTGGGATCTTTCTGCAATATATTTGCATGCCCAAATAAACGAAAAATACAGTCTTGTAAGGTAAACTAAGACCAATACCCCTAAATTTATTCACCTCTATTTGTCGCCTGGTTCTGGCAACGTCTAATGGACAGGTGATACCTGCTGCAATGCCTCCTGCAACAAAACCAGCACAGAAGTTTGCGCCGAGAATACTCAATGCACTGGCTTCATCACCCATCCTGCTCAAAATTTTTCTTCGAAGCTTCAAGGAGGTGATGATCCGGCATAAGACACCAAGAAATGCAGATTTATGCAAGAAATGACAATGAGTAAAGATCTTACTGGCTCTAGAGATGACCAGCACACAGCAGAAAAAGGAACATCACGGGAAAGTTGCGCTCCAAGACCAGTCCATAACATGCGGTAATTTTGAACTACAATTTTGTAATCACTAATTCATTACTTTTAGACATTCAAGGTGGAGGATTCTGTGCTTTGTAATATAAAGGCTGCGTACAGATAGTCTGTGTAGTAAAATGCGAAAGTTTCCAATATAAGCAAAAGCAGAGTTCAAGGCACACGTACAAGCTTGGTGGTTATTAGCAGCCTTGACGGGAGATAGCACTCCAATCAATGTTTTCCAAACACCAGGAGGCCTTATATCGGTATGGCTGTGTTGGAACGCCTATAACCAAAACAAGGGGTTCTATAAAAAAATCCAACAATGATGAAGAAATGGTAAATAGAAATTTTGCACATGTTTTTCATGGAGAGGACACATCCAAATTAAAGAACCAAAATTAGAAGTTCAAAAATTAAAAAAAGACCATAATAATTGATAGATAGCTTTTCTACAACTGAAAATAATTTAAATCAAATTACTATGAAGATAACAAACTGCAGAAATACCTGCATTCGTGTTCTTGCAAGTTCAACGGGATAACAAGTTATGCACGCTACTGACCGTGCGCCAGCTCCCGCAACCAGGGGAACATACGGTGTCAAACTTGGAGCATTCTGTAAGGTAAGCTCTTCCATGTGGTTTCGGAAAATGTCATAAAGCGGCATGTAGATTCCCACCTATGCATAATATCAGAAGGATTTCAACAACTGCTTAAGGTGAGATCTAAACATACCCATAACTTCTAAGACAACTTACAGAGGGGATTGCCAACGCCAAACTAGCGTTAGTTCCTCTCCACAACCTTGAGAATCCTTCCTGTACAATTCCCCACAGTTAGTGCTCTTCAACAAAAAGGGTTGTCAGTAATTCAATTTTAGAACTTATTTAGCATCCACAAGCCACCAACAATAGGCTATCGAAGTATTCGCAATTAATAATATGACAAAAGGTTTCTAGTTATATTTACACAATGCTTGTGCAGCAATGGAATTCAACACTAAAATAATTCTAATCATCAAGCATAGAAAAATTTTCAATCAATGTTATCAATTAGTACCAAATAGGAATAAGTCCCACCACCGCTCACTCTCTCTAAAACCTAACTTTGCAGGGCTTTGAAACAAATATACTAACCTGCCTTATCACTTTAGATAACACATCAAGAGTTCCTCGGTATCGAGTGCAATCTGGAGAGCAAATTGACTGGTTTCCTATAGGATTCTTGCCTTGCAGAATCTAAACAGGTGCATAACAAGAGAGAGAGATGAACACCATCAAAAGACCTCTATAGCTTAGCCAACATGAAATGAAACAAGAAACTCCTTTCTACGTCTCTTTATAATTTGAACTGTTCAACAGATAAACATATCGAAATTCAATGAGGAGAGTCCTTACCGTGCTTGCTTCAGAGCATGATGCCTCACACAAACCGTCATAAGGAACCCCAGCGGCCTGAGCTTGCAACCTTGTCTAAATTAAGATGCTAAAAGTTAACGAAACAGCCGAAATACCAAAATACAAAGACCTAACATCAATAGATTCTCCACAAAAAAGAATGTGCGCGAAGAATTGGAAAAAAAAAATTAGCGCACCTTGGCTACATCGAGGGGGTTGACGACAATGGCGGAAATGAAGGCGGCGCCGGCAGCAGACAACGCCCTCTCCCCAAAGCTCAAGTCTATATCAGAAACCTTGGAATTCATTGATCCCTTATCGTCCTCCTTTGCTACGTTTTTATCAATATCCACTTTTCTTGTGGCGGTTGCCATACCAATCCAAGAAGGCACGCCATTTCTCGACGAACCTACCATCACAAATCACCAATCTCTCCTTCTCCTCCTCCTCCTCCCACGAACAAAATAATCGCCGGCCGGAATCGCGTCAGGTTCGCGTAGCGTTCCCCTTACGTGGGAAGAAAAATCTAGAAACTTTGCGAGATTCTCTATTCCTCCATCGCCGTTACTTGTCCGACAAGTCGGCGCGCCAAAAAATAAATAAATAATAATAAAATAATTGAATTGGGGCGACAACCGCCACAGGCCCAATAGGCCCAATAATATAACTAAGGGGTAATCCAGTAAGCAAATTTGCAGATTTCGAAGATAGAGGATTCACCAATCAAAATGCCCTCATCTGCCACGTGTCGACAGATGGAATCATCTTCACCGCGGATTGACCCAAGCTTGCGCTGTGGATGATGGCGTACCAAATATCTTCATTTCTCATTGGCAACGACAACAAAAGTGGGGAGGAAACTGTATTGACAGTAGTGGCACAAGCCTCCAAAATCTCAAATCATACCCTACCCTATCGTCATCGACCTGAAGAAGAATGGCAGCGGCAGCTTCGGCTTCGGCTTCGGCTTCAATGGCGGTTTTGACGCACCGCCTACCCGCCGCTAGAACCGCCGTTCTATTCTCCCCTTTACCGAGCCGTCCGTTTTCCCCTCCAACTCCATTCAAGCAGCTCAAGGGTACGGATACCCACTTTTTCCCCTTCGGTCATGTAAACCTAATTTGTTGCTTAGTTTTGACTTGCTGTACTTGCTTCTGAATGTTTTTACTTCTCTATTTTGAGGTGATTTCTCGATTGTGTTCCTGTGTTTCTTGGTTTGACTTGCTAGAACTGTTGATAGACGTTTCATGATTTGAGGGTTTAAAGATTCAGAGTGAATGCATTTCCATTCTCATTAGATGGTGGCTATGGCTTCTTGTGTGAGAAATTGTAATGCACACAAATTTGTTCCTTGTCTGTTTCGAACTTTTACAATTTGACAATGTATCTGAGGCCAGGAATGATTTTCCTCTCCATATGGGGTTTCTATGAAATTATTGAAAGAACACAATCCTTAGCAAATGCAGAATGTATTTTGTCTATAAATGAGAATCCAACCTATACATAAACTACATGTCTCAATTCCAAGAAATCAAGCAATTTGGTTGCAATCACACACTTTGGAATAAGAAATCTATTTCATACCATCTGCCATGTGCTAATGTGTTGTTTATTGCATTGAAATAGAGCCCCTGAGGTCGTCCCGGCTCCTGGTCAAGGCTTCTTCATCAGACGAGACGTCTTTGGACTCATCTGAATTGCTTACAGACCTCAAGGAAAAGGCAAGCATGGTTTAATTAGTGGGGGTGAATGTATGATAGTATGTATATGTATGTATGCTATTTGCCCGAATCCAATAACTTGTTGCCCTGCTGTGTAGTGGGATGCCGTTGAAAACAAGACTACAGTAATTATCTATGGAGGCGGCGCACTTGTGGCACTTTGGCTGGCTGCAGTTATCGTCAACGCAATCAACTCAGTCCCATTGGTAGGTTAAAATCCGAGACACACAAAGTTAGTGTTTGTGTTGTTTTCTTTATAGCAACATTTTCTTTCCAATCTTATTTCAGCTTCCAAAACTCTTGGAGTTGGTCGGGCTCGGATACACTGGATGGTTTGTGTACCGTTACCTTCTATTCAAGGTACAGAGGAGCTGATACCTATAAGTGTGTGTATATATATATATATACACGTATAGCATACTTGTATATCAGATATTAGAATTTCTACTCCAAACTATTTGGTTTATTGCATGTTTTGATGTATTATTGTTCTTGTTGCAGTCGAGTAGAAAAGAATTGGTAGAAGACATCGAAGGGTTGAAGAAGAAGATTACAGGGACAGAGTAAAAGCTTCCGGTCCCAAATTGTTGTTAATTGTTACAGTTTCTGTTTCATCTGTAAAAGAGATCTTTGTAATATGTAATAACTAAGGTTCTGTTGTATTGGATGAGATGCCTTCATCGATTCGGATCAAGAAAGTTGTTCTGTTTCTAATTTGCCCGGTACATCGGCTAGTCTTCGCTAGAAATGCATAAACAAAGGCAGGAATGAACAGAAAACACATTGCAACTTCAAATGTAATATTGCCATATTCAAACATTCTCCATCGTAGTAGTGTAATAATATTACATGTAATAATAACACATTTTTTCAATTTATAAACGTCGAAAGGCAGCAAAAGACTTGAGTAAAATTCTCTTAGAGTTTGTCAATCTCGTCCTCAAATTCAATGTAATCGTCGCCAGGGCCATCATCTTCCTCATCAAGTCCACCTGCAATGCCCTCATTAAGCCTAGTGTTCTCCGGCAACTCACCATAAGCTTTCAGAAGCCTTGCTTCATCAGGCATGTATTTCAAGATAACATCAGCCTTGTCATCCTGTTCGAAGCAGAAACATACGACGAATTACCCCTCCTCATCACAAATGCATTCAGACGTGCCAAATAAATCTATTTCCCATGGCAATGCCATGAAGACGACAAGGAGAACTTACAAAAACATCACACGACTTGAAATTAAGATTCAGAAACTATTTATAACCTCAGAATTTTTGTTCTGAAGACGAGGAATCTAAATTTTTGTCTAGAAACTAAAAAAGTTAACCTTAAAGAAAAGTTACAATCTAAACAAAAAAGAAAAACTGACCAGTGCCTATGAAATCTAAATTCAGCTTTTGTTATATGAAGTTAATACAAAAAGAATTGCCGTAAAGTGAAGCTTCACTCCGAACTGTGTCTTTTAAAAATAAACAATTAAAAAATTTAAACGCTTTTTGGTTTCACATATTCTAGTTCCAATAAAAATTACAAGAAAAGAGAAAAGGGCAAACAATACTACACACAGTTGAACAACAAAGTCGAGCATCATAATTAACATTCCGTGAGCAAATGAACAGCCGGGACATGAAAAAAGAGCAACCCTTTTTCCATTCATTCTCTCTCCTTTTCATCTCATTCCCTGAGCGAATGATCTTTCCCTGTCTATGAAGATTCTTCCCTATCTTATTTCCTTTTTGCTTGCTTTATCTTAATAACTAAAAACAAATCTTCTTTATTTTCACTTGCCTTCCTAATAAAATTCACAGGCCAAGTTGAGCTCTCCCAAAAAGCAGAAAGAGCAAACCATGCCAAAAACAAATGTTATCATGATTTACATACACACAATTACGAAGCTAAAGAAAAATGCTTAAAATTGATTTATAGTCCACATATCACATATAAACACTAGTGAAGCTAACCAAGGAACAAATCTCATAGAATAATAAAACTGAATTGATTGCTTTTGTCTAAATTTAAATTTCAAATCACACATACCCTGTGCACAAAAAGCTAACTATCAACCATATTCAGCCTTCGGTAGGCTTCCCAACCATATGCTTCTAAAGTTAGTCTTTTCTTCGTATTTTCATCCTCATTTTCACTTGGCAAAAACTTCATAGTAAAAACTTATTTTCCATTCAAAATATTTCAAACTCAAAAGGTGGAAAACATCCAAGCACACCCCCAACAATCAAAAACATATTGATGGAAAATATTTCATCAATTCACACACCCATGTTTTGGTAGCAAAAGAATCCAAATTGCAAACCAGACAAAGGCGAAAAGTTCTATTTGATGATGAGATGTAGCCCTAGGGCAGTAGATGACAGGTTGAGGAATTTTGATGACAAGAAAGAAATAAACTTCGAACACGATTCAGAAAACTGGGAAATAAAATCAAATTTCATACCAGATACAATTATATGAAAACCAAGAATCACACATAACCAAGTCACACCATATTTATGAGGAAACGCACAGACACCAGCCACGAAAATCCTCAATTTTATAATCCAATGAATCCATTAAACTATCAAAAGGGCTGCACTATTGATGCATAAGTATTATAGTGATGTAGACGATCTGTAAACAAAGGAACCTCGAAATCACGCATACACAGAACCTAATTCTAAATAGAGGGTAAGAAAACAGTATTCAAGTTAGCAAAACGAACAACCTCAAAGCTAATTAAAGAACAAAACCATACCTGATAATCGCGGAGTCCGACAAGGATAATATCACCGGCGGCGATCCAGACCTTCTTGTGCATCTTGCCACGGATATGGCACAGGCGCTTAACGCCATCGATGCACATGGCCTCGCATCTGCCGTTTCCGAGCATGCGCAAGACCTGCGCGTACTCCTGCCCGTCCTCCTTGAAGACGAGCTCTCGCTTCTCATCGTCGGCCTCGTTCTTTCCTCTCTTGCGATTCTTCCCTCCCTTTCCCTTGTTCTTCGGCATGGCTGCAACAAAGCCCTAGATCGCGTCCCTTCTCTTCGATTCCCTTCTCTTCGCTTCCCTTCTCTTCTCTGCTATTCGATGCTCCCGAACGCGTCTCCAGTCCCAAACCCAGCTCCAATTTATAGGGCCTGGCTTGGGCTTACCTGCTTCTGGGCCATGCCCATCTCAAGAAAGATGAATTTTTGGATCTCAACAATTGCTGTGTGCTTTTGAATACTGGCTAGTCTGGTCAGTCGAGTCTAGTTTTAATGGCGAAGGAAAAGCAATTCAATTTGCAAATTAACCTAATCTCACCTGAACTAACTCAGATTTCAGTCCACTCATTCAACTAATTCCATCTTAATTCTGAGATCAAGAACCCAATCAGGTTTTAACAACGCCAGATTTCTTGCAGAAGTCTTCATCTAACAGATATATAGATAATAGCATGAGAAGCAAGAAATAGCATATAATCAAACAATCATTCCATCACTCAGCTAAAGAACACACTGAAGATTGCTTTTAAGAAATGAAAGAAGACGAAACGAAAGAAAGTAGTGTGGGAAATTCAATCTCCACATTCAAATGGATTTCTTAAGTAAAAGAATAGTTTCTTCACTCCAACAACTTTTACCCGCTCAAAAATTCCTCTTTGAAATTCATCAAATTACCGCAGCAAAAAGATTTAGCGGCCGAGTCATCTTTCAACACTCTGATCTTTGTGAGTGCCATTCATGCCATCGTAGCCGTCCATTTCTGCTCGAATCTTGGCCGTCGATTAATCGTTCTCTTCAAAAGCTTTCGCCCAGAACTCGAGATTCTGATCCGGCGGACAGAATGGGATCTTTCTCGGCGTCACCAAACCGCACAGCAATCCGCTGCCGTCCGATTTCGCCCCTTTCATCTTTCCCGCCGTTTCTCGTACACTGTTCCACTCTTTCAACGCCGTTGAGGCCGTCGACGAGGAAGACGTCGACGAATCTGCACCGTCAGAGAGATCACAAGATTCGCCTCCGGAGGACGGCTGGCTCCGCCTCGATCCTCCGCGGCTCAGCCTCCGAAGACGATGCGCTTCGCTTTCCTTCTTCTTCATCAATTCTCGGAAACTTACGGCTGAAAGTTTGTCCAGAATCGCGTAATCGGAAGAATGGTAGACTGCAGCGGCAATGTTGAGAACGCCTTGGAATCTACCGGAAGGACGGCGAATCTGTAAGGCGGTGAAGGAAGGAGTTCCGATTGATCTCTCCCCTGGCTTCGTTCTCTTCAAACACGTACTCAGCAAAAAACGCACGGTGCCGATAAGAAAATCCTTAATACACCCGACGGCGTAAATCTCGACGGCAACGGCGGAGGTATCGCCGGAAATGAATTCATTGGACACTCGGAAGAGGAATTTGTCGTTCCAGGTGGGGTTTTCTACGCCGACGGAATCGACGCTGGTGCGGAGCTTTGTGGCGGGGTTAATCCAGGTGACGGCGTAGGTTTGCATCCGGCGCAAATTGGCGGACGGAGTTTTTAAACCCTGTGCGGAGATCAAGTTGATCTCCAGAATCTGCTTCTCCATGGCGAGAAGTTGCAGGCTCGCTCAACTCAACTCTCTCACTGTGTGTGTGTATATATACTCGCAGTGATATACATATATAATTCAAGAAGAGAATTGAGCAAGAAACACGAAACAGAGTATGAGATGATGATGCAGAGCCAAACCCTCTCCACCCCGAATCTGCGATGCCTCGCCATTCCCGTCCCGCCGAAACCTATAAATAACTACTATTACTATATGCCTTGCAAACGGGCCCAGACCTCGGCCCGGCCCGGGGTAGTAAAGGTAAACAGAACATGAGCAAAACAGCTATAGTTTCAGGAGAGTGAAAACACCAAAAACTATTCCATATTGAATACTGACTGCACAAAAAATGAGCATTTTATTTATTTATATGTATATATAATAAAAGTTAAAAATCGAACTTAGTTTCTGAGTACCTGTTGCCAATTTCTACGTCATAAATAAAAAATAATAATAATAATAATAAAGAAAAATGAAGAGGCGCAAGAGACTTGGCCGAAGGTGAATATGCCATTAAATGACTATGGACTTTACTGATGAGGCTTACCGTTACCAAAGGACTTCATTGAACGATGGAAATTAGTGGTTAGTTTTGAGAGATTTAATTTAATTTTTTCTTTCAAACATATTAAATTAAATATTTATTTTTTATATTATTATACTTAAATATCACATCAATTTTTATATAACATCAAACAACTATAAAAATTTTAAACTGTAAAAAATCTCAAATCAACACACCAAATATTAAAAAAAACAAAAACCTCATGTTGCGGATGGAGTGGTGATTGAAGATTTATCATATTGATTATCCCAATTTATAGGTAAAAATATTATAAATAATATATAAAAATATAATATATATTTAATACATGTTGTATAAAATATTAATATATGTTGTCAATTTTATTTTTATATATTCTAAATTTATATATAATTTAGTGTCGTTCCAAAACAATAATCATATTTTCATATATAGTATTTTTATTTATATTTTATACAAATATTATTTAATAATATTAAAATTTTAATTTATTTAATTTTAAAAATTATTATTCTTTATGATCAAATAATAATAAAATTATAAAATTAATTTATTAATATATTATTTAAAATATACAAAAACAATATAATATTTAGTTTTATTTATAAATTTAAACAATTATAAAAATATATAAAATAAAATATAAATAAAATATTTTTTAACTTGTAAAAATAAAATGTATGATTAGAGATGGATTAGTAAAAAACTTTCTGAAAAAATATATTGTAGATCTTACAAAAAAATAGAGTTATAGTTGGAGATGATCTAAATAAATTAAAAGTTAATAAAATTTTATGCAATTTATGAAACTTCATTTGGAATTAAAAAAAGATTTGGAGGAAATACAACATAACATAGAGTGCTGATTTAATGAGTTTTGAAAATACAAAATGATCTAAGTTATACTTCCGTTTCATTTATCATATCTATGTTGTGGTTTCTGTCATTTTCACATCTCCTATGACTTTTTTTTTTAAATAATTATCCATTTTAATATTATTTTAAATTTTTTAATTTTAATTAAATTAATTAATTATTTTAATTTAAATTTATATAATAGATTAATTATTTTCACTAATATATCTTAATTATCTACTAATTATATTTATTATAAATTTTCGTATATACCAAAAAGACGTGGGACAGAGGAAATATAACTTATAAAATATATTAACATAATTATCTTTTTCACTAATCACCCAATCCAAACCCTTATTTTTTTTAGTGACCTGAGATTTTTATTTTTTTTTATTTTTTATTTCAACAATTAATATGCTGTAAATTAGATCAGCATAAATCACATAAGCCGAACCACCTAAAGTGATCGAGGTTTAATCAATATTTTTACATTAAAATATGTACCGTAATACGCAACCTAAAAAAAAAAAAAAAAAAGCTGAAGAGAAGAAATCTATATTGGGTTGCAGCAAAACCAAATAAAGCCCAATTCTCGTCACCGTCCGATCTCGCCACCGTCGGCCGCTTCCTGAACCTGAGATCTCCCTCCGAATCCGTCCCGCCGTAGCTTCATTTTGTCACCGGAGAATCTCAACACCAACCTTCATTGCAACAGATAAGATCGAAGAAGATGTCCTCATCTGTCTATCAAAGGCCACTCTACTCTTCCGCATCGGAGCCATCCGAGTTGTCCCCTCGATCCCGCCAAAATTACCGAAAACCCACTTCCGCCCTTGGTCGTGGCCCGGCCTTGTTGCTCCTCCTCTTCGCTCTCTTAATTATCGCCGGATTCCTTTTTCCTTCCACGCGGTCCGGCTCTCTTCTTTCGCTCAGTTCCTGGAGCTCCAAATCCAAGTGGAGTACCTACACGCTTCCCGATGCGGCAGCTTACGTCGCCAGGAACAGGACGCTGATAGTGTGCGCGGTCAGTGAGGCGTATTTGCCCTTTCTGAACAATTGGCTTATTAGCGTCGCGCGGCAAAAGCATCATGATAAAGTTTTGGTCATTGCTGAGGATTACGCCACACTTGATAAAGTAAATGAGCGGTGGCCTGGGCACGCTGTTTTGATTCCTCCTGCATTGGAAGCGGCCGCAGCCCATAAGTTTGGATCTCAGGTATTTCCTGCTAGTGTTTGGTTGATTAGTTTCTTTCCCCTTGATATGCTTCAATGGATTGCATAAGAAACGGATGCTGTGCAGATGAACTGAACTTGAATAATTATATTCAATTCTGGTTTACAAATTCTTATCATTTGAAATGCTAGGGCTGGAGTATTGAGAAACAATGTAAATCAGTTTTGATCTTTAATTATCCAAGACTAAGCAATCAAGTTGTTATGCAGTTGAATCTGTACTATAGAAGTATCTTGTGGAGGAATGTTGAGACTGTAGTTTTTTAGCCTGATGTTCATTCACAAAGTTTTGTCTGGCTGATCATATTTGCTGTTTGTTTATGGATAATTGTTCAATAGGATGGTATACTATGAGGGCAAATGCCTGATGTTTAGCTTGATTGGTTCATGGTGAATAGCTTGCTCAAGCTCTTCTAGCTCTGTTTCTTGATGAACATTTGAATGCTGCTTGTTGTCTCTGTTTACTTCCGTTGAGCTACCTTTGTTTTGTGTGTTATTTCTCTCTCATTGCTCAGTTACCTGAGGTGATTCATATTTCAGGGCTTCTTCAATTTTACAGCCAGAAGGCCACGCCATCTCCTGCAAATTTTGGAGCTTGGATATAATGTTATGTACAATGATGTTGATATGGTTTGGTTGGCAGATCCCTTTCCTTATCTTGTAGGCGAGCATGATGTGTACTTCACTGATGACATGGCTTATGTAAGTGAGCAGTTTCTAAATACTCCATTACCGCTTATCATGAAGTTAGAGTGGACTAGATTCACTATATGTCATAATGTTTGGAAGAATTCTGTTTTGTTATGTTGTTAGCAATCTGTTTTTCGTCACACCTTGGTTGGCAGGATAAAAACTTTATTAATTATATGAATTAAACACTTGTATGCATTTTGTTTGTTAAACTACCAAATTGTCTACAAAGTGCATGATTGGTATTTAAGAAGATTGCCATGTGTGCCTCTATAACTTCTAACCGAACTATTAAGAAGCTCTATCTTCTATGTCATTTAGATAGTTGAATGACAAAGCAGAAATACTGCACTTGTTATCAATGATGAGCTTATTTCTGCTCACTGAAACTGACAGGTGAAACCCCTTAATCATTCTCCTGCTTTGCCGCCTCCAGGGAAAAAGGGCCGTACTTACATCTGTAGCTGCATGATATATATGCGCCCAACACCAGGATCAAAATTACTAATGAAGAAGTGGATTGAAGAACTACAATCACAACCTTGGTCTAGAGCCAAAAAAGCCAATGACCAGCCTGGCTTTAATTGGGCATTGAATAAAACTGCTGGGCAGGTATATATATATATATATACTTTTATAATTTTTTATATAGAAAATCTTCCCCATTCATGAATATGATGTTGTTACAAAGTAGAAGCTTGTGATCGAAAAATCTCAGCATCAAGCATTGAATATATTTCTCTTCTCGTGACTGAATTTCCTGTTTAGAGGATGGCTTGAGTTTTGTGGAGAGAATGCTAAAGTGGGGTGGGATGGGGGTTGGATTGGGTTATACTATTAACTTTTCTCAATTGTCAACTTCTTGATGAAATACCGACTCTTATAGCTCATTACCTTCGTCTCTATGTAACCACTCAGACAGACTCCCCCAATCATGAATCCTTAATTTCTCTTTATGATATCTGAGATCTCATTGCAGGTAGACGTGTACCTCCTGCCTCAGAAAGCTTTCCCCACAGGGGGGTTATACTTCAAGAACAAAACATGGGCAAAGGAAACCAAAGGAATGCACGTTATCATCCACAATAACTACATAATTGGTTTTGAGAAAAAGATTAAGCGGTTTCGGGACTATGGCCTCTGGTTGGTGGATGATCATGCCTCAGAATCCCCTCTTGGCGCATTGTGACAAGTTGTCGAAATACAAAAGATCTTCCTCCATAAAACGATGCCCAGTTTCAGACACTCTTTGGTCTTGACATGTGCCTAGGCATCTCTGGAATTGTTCGGAGGCTGGAAACCAATACAGGCAACAATCTATAAAACGTGTGACTTGGACAAATGCAGAGGCAAAATCTCACTGCATATCGAATTTTTGGTAAGCTCCGACCTTCCCCGGATTCATGAGTGTAGCTGTAATCTTGTTAATTTTATCATCAAGATCTGGTGTTGCACACTCAGTATGATTGATTCCATCAGTTCCCACTCAAAATGTAAGAGTTCATTAATTCTTCGTTATTTATCACTTCATCCTCAGTTCTTTAAAAAATGGGATTTTTTATTTTGTTTTATCATCACATTTATTTTCTAGGTTGGTTCTGGACAACCTTTTTTCCTGTGCACCTATTTATTGACAGCTACTTTGGACAGTTTGACCTCTTCTGAAATTTAACAACTTAATAAATTATTTAGACAAGCTTTCTATTGTTGCAATTAAACACAGCTTGTGGGATGAAGCAATTTGCCATTATCCCTAAAAATGGATTTCCTAATCTCAATGTTGCTAAAATTTTGTGAAGAGGACGTGAGGGGTCATGCATTGTTTGTGAGTGGGCAGAAATCAGTATTTCCTCCTTGAAAGTAGGGATGGACAAAAAATTGAACCGAATCGTTGAACCGAACTGAATTGCATCAAATTTTCGGTTAATTGAGCAAATTCAGTTTGAATACAAATATTGCATATTTGACATTTGCTCGATTCGATTCGATTTCGATTTTTGATATTTTTTTCTTATTCGGTTAACTGAATCGAATATATTTATATATTTATGTTATTATATTTTAAAATTTATATTAATAATTATATTTGAATCGGTTTTGGTTCGGCTTTGGTTCAGATATTTGAAATATTTGGAATATTTTGATTTAATTAGAATTTTAATTATTTTTTTATTTCGATTCGGTTCGAATTATTTGTAAATATTTTCGGTTAACCGAATTTTCGGATACGATTCATGATTTTCGATATTTGTTCGGTTCGGTTCAAATATTAAATATATGCATATTTACAAATATCTGAACCATACCCACCCCTACTTAAAAGTATCTTTACTAACTTTTCCTCTCGTGACCTTTTTTAATTTTTTATTATTTTTTTTTTTTGTTTTTTACTGTAATTGTCTGGCTGATAACATCATAATTTCAATATCCAATAGTCTTGTGTGCCTTCAAGAAATAAAAGTTAAAAGGTTTGTTTGTTCGTTGAAATGATTTGAACATATTTTTTAATTATCTTTTTTATGCTAGTTACGAATAATTGTATAAATAATATCAAATTAATAAACATGGCTAATATATTAATTTTTTTTTAGAGGAATATGATTTTGAAGAAATGTACTTTTCACGAAAAGAACACAGCCAAAGATATTTCCTATATCATGGATAATCATGTCATTTTATTTATTTATTTTTATTGTCAACTAAATGTTAAAAGATTAAAATAAAATTATCCATTTATATTTTTATTATCTTTATTATAATAAATAATTATTATTTTTCTATTGTATTTTTTAGTTAATTGTTTTTTTATCAATTTTTTATTATTTTATCATAATACATCTATTTTACTTTTATTTATTTATTTTAATTAAAATACTAGTATTATTTTTAATTTTTATGTCCAAATAAAAATGTATAAATATCCCAATCAATAAAACATTAGGAAAGAAAAAAAAAAAAAAAAAAGGGAAGCAATTTTATTTTTTTTTAAAAATGCAGTGATGTCATTATCATTTTATGTAGTCCCAAATGACAGTGTCTTTATCATGCAATCATCTTAACTAATGAATTCATTTGCTGTTCTGTCCTCTCTCTGAGTGCATCATTTTATTGGGACTAATGTGACAAATAAAATAAAGATAATATGACTAATTTCAGCAAATTCCAATCAGACATATTTAATTAAAATTGGAAAACACATTCATATGTTCAAATTTTGCCAATTTAACTATTTTCATGCACTATCTATCATAGAAAAAGGAAAAGAGAATCTTGTGTCAAAGTACAAGTACAAGTGATTGATTATTCACTAATGGAAGTCAATTTGTTTCAGAAATCACATCATTTGCATACTATAGATATTATCTAACAAATTTCTATTCATAAAAAAAAAAATATATATATATATACTCCTTCAGCCCCGGAATTAAATATTTTTTTTTTTTTTCATTTAGTTTTAGAAATATTAGTATTATATTAAGATATAATAGGAATAAAGTAGAAATAACTAAAATAATTTTATTAGTATGCGTGATATAAATGTAATGACATTTGTGTAAGATATTATAAGTTGCAAGGGTATTTGTAATGTTAGGTAGACAGTACAGTTACTTAAAAAAAAGAAATGGATACTTTGTCATAGGATAGACTAAAATGGAAAAATTGATATTTTGTTATGAGATAGAGGGAATATTATTATTTTTTGATAAAAAAAATTATACTTCTTCCGTTCCATAGTATCCATTTTTTTTATTTTAGTACGTCACATGACAGAGTATCAATTTCAATTTCTTTTTTAGTAATTGTATTATATACCTAACGTTACAAATATCCTTATAACTTACAATATATTACACAAATGTCATTACCTTTGTATTACACATATTAATAAGGTTATTTTAGTTATTTCTACTTTATTCTTACTACTTTCAAATATAATAATTAATATTTTTAAAACTACGTGCAAAAAGCAAATAGATATTTAATTATTGGACAGATGGAGTATATATTTATCTTTTTAGGATGTGTTTGTTTGGGGATTGGATTAAGAATACACTGTTTATCCCATTTTTTTTCTCTAAAAATAATAAATCAAACACTTATTTTTTATTTTTTATATTAAACTAAAAATCAATTTTACATTCAAAACATCACATCATACAACTATTCAAATTTTAACTCAAAATCCAAACCCAGAACAAACACACCCTTAGAAAAAAGATTACTATAAAATAGTATTTTTTTTTAATTAAAAAAAAACAATAGATTATTATCTATTCTAAAATATGTATCAAAAAAATATTTTTTGGTATATTATGTTTACTGGTAAATTGAAGAGGGACAATTTAATGGAATTTACATCTATGAAAATATATATTCAAATAGTTAGGTATAAAATTTAATAAAATAAAAATTATTTTCTTTTATTTTTATAATAAAAAATACATAATTTTTTACTTAAAAAAATTAAAACATTTTCTATGACAACAATATATATAAGTTATTCACTTAGTAACAATTCTTTATAAATTAAAAAATAGATCAATCTAAAAAAAACAAAAAAAAATAATAAATTCATAGAAATCATAGAAATAAAAAGAGTATATCCATAGAAATTTTTATCTTAAATGCTCTTTATCTAAAAAAGAAAAGGAAAATTTTGATTACTAACTTTCCAAACAAACCAAACCAAACCTTCCAATACAATTTTTCTCTAGTGACAGATGACGGCATTTCCCACGTCAGCAGTGCAGATACCCCGATCTCGTCCATAGCTTTTCTTCCCCCTTTCTTCTTCTCCCAATCTTCTCCTTCAAGCAAACCCCTGCAGTGCCTTCAATTACTGTTAATCCAAGAAAATAGTGGCAGACTGCAGAGAAGGTTTCAAAAAATTGATGTTGCTTTTAGTCCAGATGGGTTTGACTGACAAAAATTAGAGATCTATCATTTCGTTATCCCCAAACTTGAGCTGTCTTTATTTATTTATTTTTATTATTTTCTGCCTCGATGTTAGAGTGAAATGTGTGCCCAGCTACTGTTCTTGAGTGGATGCACAGATGGAGCCTCATTTTCAGCTGTAAAGATTGGAATTTGAGTGTGTAAATGGGTTCACTCGAAACTGGGCTGCCATTGAAGAGGGATCAACATTTGCTGCGTTCTTCATCTGGTAGGAACAACAATATCGGCGGGGGTAATATTAATGGGTTTTTGGGGCAGAGGAGCAGATCAAGATTTGCAAGATGGGTACTGTTCAAGAGGATTGATTATCTGCAGTTGATTTGTGGAGTGGCTGTTTTCTTCTTTTTTGTGTTCCTCTTCCAGATTTTCTTCCTGCCTGGCCATCTGATTGGAGATGAAAATAGATCTGATAAAGTCCTTCAAGGCAATTTTGGGGAATTGTCATTCTTGAAAGAGCTGGACTTTGGGGAAGATATAGAGTTTGAGCCTTTGAGAAGTGTGGAGAAGTTCCAAAAGGATTCGCAATTGGGAAATGGAAGTTTTGGGTTGAAAAATGGTGTGAGATTTGGGTATCGGAAACCTAAGCTTGCTTTGGTAAGCAATGTGGAACTTCTTTGTGTTTGAAACTTTTAGGTGTTGGTCTGTTAGTTACATTAGTGAATTAGCATACACATATACATACATATTGTATATATATATATATATGCATATGAGCTTGATTTAATTTCATTCTACATTGTGTGGTTTGTCAAGTGTTGTTAACTGAGATTGTTTGTGAAACTGTAGGTTTTCGCAGATTTATGGGTTGATCAACATCAGATACTAATGGCTACTGTTGCTAGGGCATTGCTCGAGATCGGATATGACCTTGAGGTGATTTAGTAAATCTGTGATTATTTCCTATTGCTTGTTACCTTATTGAGGAAAAGGAACTGTGTACTGTGTGAACTCTAGGCAATTGTTCCTCCCAGAAACTCCCTTCAAGAAATGGACTTCATGTGAAGTGTGCAATTTTAGTAATTTGAACTTTTTGTTATTTTGATGTTTGGTGAGTGGTTGATCTCAGCAATGTAGTATTTTTTTTTTTTTTTCCTAAACCAAGCCAAGAAGAATTTCTCCATGTTTTGCATCTAAGGGAAAACGTAACAGAGTTGATATTACAACGTGTAGGAACTAGAAATCAATGTAGATGGAACCAAGTCCCTTCTATTTCCCTTGCCCGAATCACGGCACCTGCTAAAAGTTCTGTACCTTTTTGGTTTGTTTTTTCAGGTATTTGCACTTGAAAATGGCCCGGCGCGTGCTGTATGGGAAAAGATTGGGGTTTCGTTGAGAATTATTGTTGCAGATGGAAACACGAAGCTACAAGTGGATTGGCTCAAGTATGCATGCCACTCTCTATATTAGAAAATATATGAATCTTGATTGACATTTCTTAGTAGGCTGTAATCTTTTGCTCCTGCATCGTAAATTCTTCTCTTGGATCAAGTTAACAAAATAAAAACTTATATACATGTTTTATAAAATAACCACTAAGTTCCACTGTAATTGTTTTCTTTGGTATTTCTGTTCATCTAAGCTTCATGAAACACAATTTACAATTTATTCTATGGTCTCGATGATTTTGTCCATGCACTTTCATCTTGTTTGATGTTAACATATCACTATAAATCTTTCGGTGAATCTCTCTGTGAGGACTAAGCTATGTTATCAACAAATTTTGCCCCATAATTCAATGTATTGGGTATTTTACCGATACACTGTAACATGTTTTTTAATTAACCACCATTCTAACAATCTGGATGCATGGTGTTGAAGCTCTCTTGCAGATAATTTGTTGAAGATAAATTAGGTTATACATGCATACATATACATATATACACATTCTAATAAGTATGCTTCTTATTTACAGTTACGATGCCGTACTTGTGAATTCTCTCGAGGCCGTTGGCTTCTTGTCTTGGTAAGCAGCATGACACTATTCTGTCATCTGCCGAAATATTTCATATTGTTTTGTTTATTTTATCGTTACATTTCTTGTTTGAGTCTGTCTTCCACATAGTCTTTTAACATGACCCTGAATTTCGAAAAAAAAGAGATTAAAATAAGATTGTACTTTCCCCCTTTGTTTGTTCACAATATCCTTTGCAAAAACATAAATGGTTTTACTTGTTACAGTCTCATGCAGGAACCTTTTAAAAATGTTCCGCTCATATGGACTGTGCATGAACTTACTCTTGCGACTCGATTGAGACAATATTCTTCCAGTGGTCAGGCTGAATTTGTTGATCTCTGGAAAAAAGTTTTTGCCAGGGCCAGAGTTGTTGTCTTTCCAAACTATATATTGCCGGTAAATTTACAAGTTGATCAAATGTTATTCTTAGCTGTGGCGATTTCTAAGATCCATAAAGTACTTTTAGCTACCTCTGAATGAATTTGAGGAAGAAATGTGCAATTTCAACATCTTAAATTTTTATTCTATGAGAACATGAGGATCATTATCATGATATTGATTTCTTTGCAAATGATATTCAGATGGCATATTTGTTATGTGACCCTGGAAACTACATTGTAATCCCCGGCTCACCTGAAGAAGCTTGGAAATCTGATAGGCGAATAGGGTTTATGGAAGATAATCCACAGCTGAAATTGGAGTATGAGTCAGATGAATTTGTTGTTGCCGTTGTGGGGAGCCAGCTAGGTTACAAAGGTCTGTGGGTGGATCATGCCTTTGTCTTACAGGCTTTACGCCCTCTTTTTACAGACTTTGGTGATTCAAGTTCCCCTATTAAAGTTTTTGTCGTGGCTGGAGATTCCATGGGCAACTATAGAACCATTGTGGAGGTGAGAACAATTTATTCCTTTTTCAAGTTGTTGCATGATGACGTGACCCTTTAGGATTTCTTAGTGGTTGAAAGCATCTATCAGTTGATTTTAGGTTAAACATAGATCTTGGTTGATGTCTTTTTGTGTAAATAGTACCAAAAATATAATAAATTGTGTGGAATTCACATTGATGCAAACTCCCTTGGCTTTCCATGAATATAATGAACCTAATTCTTAGACTTCAATTTTAGTGCTCCCAAGATGACTCCTTTGAGTGCCATTTGGTGGAAATGACTGACCCTTTTGGTTTGTTTGTTTAATGTTTATTAGTTATGCTAAATATGTAAATTAGCAATTTGTAATATGACTCCTTTGAGCACCATTTGGTGGTATTTGACTGCCTATGATTTGTAATTTACTTTCAAGAGACATTGAAGGGATTATTTTTGTCGTTTGTATTCTAATGTTCGAATTAATGGCTGCAGACAATTTCACAGAAATTGGGATATCAAAATGAGACAGTGAAGCATGTTGCTGATACAAATATGGACACAGTAATAAGTTCTGCTGATCTGGTGGTATATGGATCCTTCTTCGACCAGCATTCCTTTCCAGACGTTTTGCTGAAGGCTATGTGTCTTGGGAAACCTATAATAGCCCCTGATCTACCGGGAATACAGAAATATGTATGTTTTTTTAAAGTAAAATTATCTAAAATTCATTTTTCGTTCTTCATTGCTGTACTAACTGATGGGAGAAATCTTTTAGGTCAGTGACAGAGTGAACGGCTTTCTATTCCCAAAGGATGACATTGTGGCTCTGACACAGATCATGTTTCAAATGTTCTCAAATGGAAAACTCTCAGCCATAGCTGACAATGCTGCAACCATTGCAAAGCATACTGCTAAGAACTTAATGGTTTCGGAAAGTGTTGGAGGATATGCATTGTTACTGGAAAACATTCTTGTACTCCCATCTGAAGTTGCAGCTCCTCGATCCAGAGAAGGTATTCCTCAGAAACTAAAAGAGGAATGGCAATGGCATCTCTTTGATGGAATTGCAGATACCCGTCCTCCAAATAAGTCCACAGTGGGGTTCTTAGAAAAGTTCGAAAAACAGTTCAACCATTATGCAGAACCTGTTTCAGCTTTAATTTCACTAAATGATTCATTCGTTTATGCAATCTGGGAAGACCAGAAGTATATAGATACGATTACCATGAAAAAAAGAAGAGAGGAAGAAGAGGTAACTGATTATGCTTTTTGTCTTTCTATGTGATTTCAAATTAGATAGTGAATGTTTAAGATCATTAAGATTCATTGACAATGACTTCTTGTTTGCAAACTGATTCAGCTGAAGGATAGGACGGATCTGCCTCGAGGAACATGGGATGATGTATATCGAAGTGCTAGAAGAGCTGACCGTTCATTGCATGAAAGAGATGAAGGAGAACTTGAAAGGACTGGTCAACCCTTATGTATTTATGAACCGTACTTTGGAGCGGGAACATGGCCTTTTTTGCACCACACTTCATTATACAGAGGACTTGGACTGGTTAGTACTCTACATGTTTTCTTGAAATTCAATGCTGTTCCACCATCAATTTGAGTTGGGATTTTTGCAGTCTACAAAAGGTCGAAGACCTGGAACAGATGATATTGATGCACCTGCTCGTCTCCCAATATTAAGCAATTCTTATTACCGTGATATCTTGGGGGAATATGGTGCCTTTTTTGCAATTGCAAATCGGATTGATCGTATACACAAAAACTCATGGATAGGATTTCAGTCTTGGAGAGCGTCAGCAAGGATGGTATGTGATTGAGCTCTGGTTAACTATGGCTGCTGAATTTTTTCCTTAGTCTTGTTACGATTTGTGATGATTGCGAAACTAAAACAATACAATGCTAGTGTTACATATGGTTTTATTTATTTATTTCTGGTAAACATACCATCTCATGTCTAACAGTGAGTAATATAATATCAGAATTCCTTGTCCAAGACTGCTGAAAGATCGTTGTTGGAAGCTATTGAAGCACGAAAACATGGGGATACATTATACTTTTGGGTCCGTTTGGACACAGATGATAGAAATTCGTTGAAACAGGATTTTTGGTCCTTCTGTGATGCTGTAAATGCTGGGAACTGCAGGTAGGCATTGTCATGTCGCTTTTAGTAATTTTGGCTGCATACTTAATTTAGGGGCACTGGAAATTAATTAGGCTGTAGGAATTAAGAATCAAAATGATTCAGACCTCCTGGTAGATATAAGAATCGCTAAAACATAGGAGGTTGAGAATCATCGAACTTTGTTGAGAATCTGCTTAATCTGTTTTACATGTGGTTTTTAGGCTTGCTTTCTCAATGGCGCTAAAACATATGTACGGCTTCAATCACAACCTAAGTTCTCTTCCACCAATGCCGTCGGACGAGGGCACTTGGTCTGTAATGCATTCTTGGGCTTTACCTACAAAATCCTTTGTGGAGTTTGTTATGTTTTCAAGGTCTGTTGTTCTACGAATTGTCTTTATGCTTGAAAATCATTTCTATGCTTTCGTCTTTATGAATGTTATTGTTAACAAACTATGTCTTTCTACCTCTAGAATGTTTGTTGATGCGCTCGACGCCCAATTCTATGATGATCATCAGAAATCTGGACACTGTTGCCTTAGCTTATCCAAGGTAGTCTTAACTTTCTTTTTATTGTGTTTGTGATTGTAACTTTAAGGTTAGTATGAAAATCTATTTGAGTTAGATTAGGCTGTCTGTGGATCTTTTTTATATTAGGAATCTTTTAGGAATAGAAGTTGAGCTGTTCTGGATTTATGATCGAGTCATATATAAAAGAGTACTCGATAAATCAATGATTATACGAATCTAGTATTTACGAGTCGCAAATATGTGAGATTATCATAATTTCTGCAATCTTTGTGATCAGCCAGCTACTAATTCAATAAAATCATCTCCATTGTCTTTATTTCTCTTCTTAATTTGATTTTCTGTTACTACTTTTGGGGGGTTTTAGAAGTTTTTGGCTCCACACATCACATCCCTACAATTTGAACATATATTTGAGCTGTGTTTCTGTTTCTTGCTTATGTCCCATATTTTACTTTGTCTGAAAAGCATGTGACTTGATGAATGAATGGCAGGACAAGCATTGCTACACCCGAGTGCTTGAGTTGCTCATCAATGTCTGGGCATACCACAGTGCAAGAAGGATAATCTACGTGGATCCAAAGCTAGGCTTAATGCAAGAACAACACGGTCTGAAAAGCAGAAGGGGTCGAATGTGGATCAAGTGGTTCCAATTGAGCACACTCAAAAGCATGGACGAGGAATTGGCAGAGGAGATGGATTCCGACCACCCCAAAAGGCGGTGGCTGTGGCCATCAACGGGCGAAGTGTTCTGGCAAGGAATGTACGAGAAGGAGCGCAGTATGAGATACAAAGCCAAAGCGAAGAAACGGCAACAGAGTAAAGACAAGATTAAACGGATAAAGGATCGAACACATCAAAAGGCATTGGGGAAGTATGTGAAGCCTCGCATCAATGAGGACATCAACAACAACACTGCTCTTGCAGCTTAGCTACTACTGATTTTCTTCCTCTCTCTCTCTCTCTCTCTCTATATATATATATATGCATATACACAGCGATCATCTAATTTTTTTGGTACCACTTTTTCCCCTTTCAAATGTTTTTTGGTATGAAGTGGTTGCTGCCCTGAAAATTGTAATTTGTAGTTGAGATGTACCTATTGTTTTATTGGTTATTGTTGTTATCACTTCACTTGTAAATGAAACTAATGGACAACCTTTGGGCTTTTTGTCTTGCCAAGTGTGTTGTTTGGGGAGTCTTATAAATGTCTTTGTTTCAACATTATAAAGAACATAACTTTGTTTATGCAATGTCAATTCATACTATACATTTGTTTTTGGGCAAATTGGTTATAATTCTTTTCTGGTTTCGAAACGTCTAAATCATCCATTTACTTTAAAAATTGCATAAAGTTTCTTTATAATATAAAAAATATTGCATAAAATTCTTTTTGATTTTGAAACTCCCTATTAGAATATAAATTATCTTCTCATCATACAAGGAAGGTTATTACTATATCCTTTGTATTGAAATCGATTCATGATTGGCATCATTTGGAGGCGAAAGATCAATGGTTTTCTGGTAGTCCAGATGAATCAATTTGATAAATAATAATACTAATAATGAATGCATAACTCATGATGTTTGTACAAGTGATAGTTTCATTACTGCCCAGAAACTAATACAACATTATTAATGGTAAGAGGGCAAGATAGTACAGGACACAACAAACACAACCTTGATGGGTTTGGGCCCAGCAAAGGCAAAGAGCATAGGGCAACTGGCCTATACCCTCAGGAACCATTACCACCAAGGCTGTATGTCAATCACAGACAACCCAATGAATGAAAAAGGAAAGGAAATGGAGTCTGTTTAAATGGACATGTACATATGACTGACTAGATTGGCTAACTATTTGGTGTATCTGATTATGACTTTCAACTATAAATGTAATGCACTCATTCCTAGTTTATCGATACACATAAGTAGAATACCATTTGATCAACAGCTTATTAATTTTCAGAAACTGTTGAATTTGAATAGGGAAGGGACAAGGACAGTAGATGAGTATGGACAATTCCCTCTAACCTGATTGATGGATTCAATGACATAAAGCTCGATGATAATTTGGTCAGTGGTTCATTCATGCATTTGTCTTCAATTTCGGTGCCTTGGGCTTCACAAAGAACGATGAAAGCATACTCTTACTTCGAACAGGGGGGCGCACAATCTCCTTGTGAGTTGGACTACCAAATGACCTGAATGGAGTTAAAGGTTTGGAGCCCTCCAAAGATTCCTGCAGACAATTTTTAAGGGCTTGATTTAACAAGAAAGAATGAGAAAAGAAATCGGTTGAAATTAGATAATGCTTTGAAAGAAATTTCTGTTTAACAATTTCTGTAAAAAGACAATCAGATAACTCACTAGTCAGATAAAGTTGCATGTCTAGATAGTTAAGATGATAGAACCTATTACCAAAGTATGGTGGGGTTAATAAGTAGCAATGTAGCATGATGGCGTTACTTGAAGAGCTCACTAGCACAAGGCAACATTCCAATGTTCTTTCTACATAAAAGCCTTTGGTATTTTACAATAACTTAGTTGGAAATATGCATGCATGTTTTTGTGTTGTTTCATTTTGGATAATTTGGATTGTACTGGGCATCCAAAAAAAGGAAAAAGTTAAAAGTAATATGTCCACCAGCAACCTATTGATTGGGCTATCTTGTAGGGGAAAAGAGGCATTTCCACCAGAAATGTCGAGTAAAAAGATGAAATCTTTAAATGAAGCAGATTGGGAGGACAAAGACCATCTATTGGCTAAAGCCCATGTGTTAATTATTCATCTTGTCAAATAAAAAAATGCCAAACATGATCTAGCTATAAGAAAGATATCGACCTGTGACCCTATAAATAGAAAACTGCTCTCTTCACTCCTGAACCACTCCTATCTCTTGTTAATAATTAAGATCAATCTTTTCTTATAGATCCCACAGTTGGGAAATTTTAGTTCTATGGAAATTTAGTCCCTATACTAAAATTTATATCATATTCAAAGGCAATATTACCAAATCAAGTGAGCCCTCTAGAAAAAAGAAAATAAAAATCAGAGAATGAGAGAAAATCATGCTTAATTTTCAAGGATATTGAAATTACCCGTTGCGTAACACCCAATGTTTGCATTGCTACACTTGAAGCTGGCGTGGATCTCAACCTGGTGTTCTCTTCAACATCTAATTGGTAAATGATAAGTTCAAAAAATGAATACTTCTGAAGATGAAAAATAGTGATCTCACTTTTCAACAGTTAATTAAAGTTGATAAGAATGATTGCATACCTAACAAGTTTGATGGACCAGATGTTTTAACATTTGCTTTTGAGTCCTCAGTGCTGACAAATAAGCAGATATTAACTATGTTCTGCACATAATTGACAGAAGCATACATAGAATGAGAGCTTATGGGACAAACCTGATAATACCACGCGAAGAGCCTTTCAAGGTTGACTTGGTTTCAGATGCTAAATGCCAAGAGAGAGTTTTTGCAGCAGCAGCACCTAAACCAAATGTCACTAATGGAATTAGCTAACCTACAATGGGTCGCTGATCCTTCAGCTAACTCCATGGTACTTTAAAGAATATCAACCACCTGAAGCATACAGACGAGCTCTTGCTTGGATAGGTTGCCGAGGATCAGTTTGTATATGTGGACTAAAGTGCACCTTCTTGTTCACAGAATCTAGCTTGATCGACCCAATGAAATATATATTAATGACAAACACAAACAGACAAGAATGCAAGAAGGAAATGTAATTAGTAACTCACTCGGTAATATATAATGTTTGTGATGCTTTGGGATTATGGCTATTAACTGCTGCTGCCTAAGACCTTCTTTATCCACATATGTTTGACATGTCAGAAGTTGCTTACATGGAAAAATCACATTTCAGAGCCGCAATCATGATCACCTTCATAAAATATGCACCAAGTTAATGGAGTGAGACATACCTGATTCAAACAGGTGACTTTTAGATCCATGGAAGAGATGTCCAGTGTCTGCTGCTCAAGAATATCACTGAACTTGTATGCAACGGTACCGAGGTGGTCGATGGCATTGACGAGAGCTCTTACAGCGTAATCCTTAAGATTATCCAGAACCCTTATACACAATACAATAATATAAAGGTAAAATTTCCAGGGTAAAAGAAATAGGTGGGGACAATGCAGTTTCAAGATATTTTCACATTTGAGTGTACATTTGGAAAGCATTATGTGATACATTCATAACATATGTATAGAAATTCTTCGTAATTGCCTATTGTAAACAAAGCAAGTACACGACGAAAGTCTTACATTTGCTTTTGGTCACTGTGAAGATAAGACTTTTCGCAATATTCGGCTGCCGAATAAAGTTGCGGCCTCAGATTCTTGAGTTCCTGAGGAGGCATAATATGATTGGAACAATGAACAATCAGTACTTTCCGAAAATACAATTTATACTAAACAAAAAGACTTCAATGCATATCTTAATTAGCAAATTGGAGATTTGGGATCAAGCACAATAAACAATTCCTTGAACTAAGTTATATTTCCAGAATATATATATATACAACATATATGGCATTCATCACTAAAAGAGTATTTAAGCAACAGCAAATCGAAATCACCAATTCTGTACGCAATAGCATAGAAGCAAGCAGACAAGGAAATTGACACCAGCTTAATTCTTCGAAGTCAACCAATATAGAATCATATTTTACATTTCCATCACAAACACACAATCCGTCAACCAATAAGTCAACCTCGGATCACGAGCAAAAGATTCACAAGTCTTCTCTTCTCACACCCCTAACGCAATCCTTCCTAGATCTGATCCTAAAATTTCCATCCAGAGCACACAACCAATAACCACCACGCATAAACTTACCTGTAATGCCGTGACAAAGTTCTTACTTCTCTCCATCGACACCTCGTCAAACGTCCTCCTCTGATTCTGCAACCGACCTTTCTCCACCTCCATTACTGAAAAAAAAAAAAAAAAAAAAAAAAGCAAAACGCGCCCACAGAATGAAAGATTAACAATATGCTTCAGCTCAAATCCCCAGAGACTCCCTTCGAAACTCAATCATCAAACCCTAACATCAAAAGCCTCGATTTAACATCACAATTAACAAATTGTGGATCCAGCTGTGCCACCAAGGATTTGGAGCTAAGCAAAGTTAATAACGCGCGCAGGGGCGGGGTTGGGTGAGGCTAAGTGTGTGCAGCAGAAGCAACCCCGGGAAGTGCGTTGTAGGTGTAATAAATTGGTTCAAAGGTAGAGGAAAAGCTTGAAAGCGACGTCGTTTTGTATTTATGTTGGGGCAGAACTCAGACGGGAGGAAGAAAGGTGGTTCAACTGCACTCAGCTGGCTGGTGGGCCTCTTATTTAATGCCTATTTAATAATTAATTCCCCTCTCAATTAATAAATTTTTAATAAATTACCAATATTCGAATCTAATCTAATAATCTACTGTAAATTATTTATTTATTATTACTCAATACATTTTTATTTTTATTTTAAATAATTGAATTTGGGCTTGTTATTGGAAAAGATTGTGGGCCCAATAAATGGGCCCAAAAGATGCAAGGAAATCTAGCCCAATTCATTGACCAATCAAGTAATTTATAAAGAATAATAATTTACTAATTCGAATTTCTTGATTATCCCCAGAATCTGAAGCTTATCCGGTGGGCGATGGTTTCGCGAGCTCACCTGGAGCAGAACGATCTCTTTGAGAATTCGAGTATAATGTCGATTGGGAAGTGAAGATCGTAATTTGTTGTAGATTATCGATTGCGCCAATTTTAAGGGGCATCTTGCGATGGCGCTTATAGTGATGTCGCCGGAGGTTGCATCGTTCGCCGGAATGGGAATTCACATGCGAAAGGCTCCCCGAATCGCTGGAAAAAGCGTTAAGTTCGTCTCATGTTCGGGTGTGAAGGATGTGGAAATGGAGGTTTTGAAATTGCGAAGCGATAACTACGAGGATGGTCTGAGATGGCTGTACGGGCAGGTGAAGGAGGGCGAAACGGCGCCGTTTCCGTCGACGAAGGACAAGGAGGATGAAAGGAAGAAGCAGGATTACTATGTGAATACAGGTTACGCGATTCGAAACCTTCGTGAGGAATTTCCGGAGCTTTTCTATAGAGAATTGAGCTTTGATATCTACAGGTTTGCATTTTAACTTTCCCTTGCAGCATTAATCTTTTGATTGGTTAGGGCTTATGCATATACTGCCATTTGATATCTCCTTTTACTCTGTGCCACTGTTCATTTCTAGAATTGAAAATGTCACTTTATCTTAATCAAATGTGGATAATGCTTGAAAGAACTCCATATATACATTTGATGCTGATAGAACAGTGTTTGAACTATAGTTCTACATACAATTGAGCAAAATCGATATGTACATTTGATATTGATATAACAGTGCTTCAACTATAGTTCTACATACAATTGAGCAAAATCGAAATATACGTTTGATTTTGATAGAACAGTGTTTGAACTATAGTTCTACATACAATTGAGCAAAATCGATACATATATCTGATGTTGATAGAACGGTGCTTGAACTATAGTTCTACATACAATTGAGCAAATTCGATATATACATTTAATGTTGATAGAACAGTGTTTGAACTATAATTCTACATATAATTGAGCAAAAACTAGAGAATGCCTGGATTTTATTATTGGTTTTAATGTTCTTGGTATTATGTGTATGTGAAGAATGATCAAATTCAAAATGGATCTCTAAAATCTGTGTCATTCATTGTCTATTGCCATAGGGATGATATTGTTTTTAAAGACCCTGTCAATGCAATCGCCGGTATTGAGAACTATAAGTCAATCTTTTGGGCATTAAGATTTCATGGGAAGATCTTTTTTCGGGCATTGTGGGTTGACATTATAAGTGTGTGGCAGCCGGCGGAGAACATGATATTGGTTCGATGGGTAGTTCATGGCATTCCTCGAGTACCATGGGAGAGCCGAAGTAGATTTGACGGCACCTCTGAGTATAAGCTGGATAAGGTTGGAAAGATCTATGAACACAAAGTTCACAATATTGCTATGAATGGGCCCCAAAAGTTCCAAGTTCTAGCCGTCGATCAATTGCTTCAATCAATAGGATGCCCTTCTACCCCAAAGCCAACATATTTTGAATTCTCATCCTCTGGTTTTCGATTTTGGGAGCATTCAAGATTAGTCACTTCTGTTCTAGCTCCTATTGAATCTAAAGCACGATCATGAAAGAGTACGTAGAGTTGGTTCATGGCACTCAAAATCTTGGTTTGTGTTACAGTTTATCTGAATCCATGAATGTGATTATACGCCGTGGATATACATGAGATGGGATGGCGAATGCAGTATAAATAACAGCTTTTGAGATATGTAAATTCGAGCTGCTTGTGTTTTTTTCCTGTATAAACATAGTTTGAAATTTCGTGCTGCACATATATAATCAAGTGCTTATAGTAGTGTCTTGGTGTGTTCCAATTGTTGTTGGTGAACATATATTGAGTGTGTATGTAAAACATATATATATATATGTGTGTGTGTGTATATTATGCTATTTGATCAGCTTCTTGAGTTTAAAATGAGCCATTCAGATCAGATTTGTGGCACTTATCTTTGTATTCTTAGTTTGTATACTATAGTGCCTATACTATTGGGGAGTTCTTGAAATTGTGTTATTTCGCGACCCATTTAATGTATGGAAGAAAGATAATGGTTCGGGATATGGGGGTTTTATTAAGCTCACTAAGATAGATTGTTTTCTTCTACTTCCGATTGTTTTGTAAAATTAGAGTTTTTATCTTTGGAGATTGGAAATTGGAGACAGGACTATTAGAAATGCAATCCAAGAAAAAAATTTGTGGTTCGGGTGGTGATGGACCGGAGCCTTTGGGTCTCTTCGTAGCTCGGCCCATGAAGAGGACCTTTGGTAGGCTATTATTGTCGAACTATAATCATCAATCTTGTTTTGTTTGTGTGTTCTAAAGAAGAATTAATTTTTTTGTTGAGTAAGGGTGGCATTGGGTTCTTGATTGTTATGATTTTTGTTCTTTTAGTAATATTTTGTTTTGTCTATTTGGTTATTATTATGCAAATTTAAATACATAGGTTCGTTCCCAACATGTATCCAACATGTGGGGACCCTTGTCTCCTCTTTAACATGAAAACAACAACACATTCCTTAATCTTGGAAGGTTGTGTAATTGTGTTGTGATGACTGATGACTGATGGAAGAACTAAGAGAACAGATAACAAACCTGTGGCTACCTGTCTCATTGAGAACATATATATATATATATATTATTATTATTACTATTATTATTAATCAACCTGTTTCTATACATTACATTACAATGCATTGATTGAAGAAATGTGGCTTGTTCATATTAGTTGGCACACTTTGGTTTTGTTCTTCTTCTTATATATTTTTTACAATGAAGGTTAATCGTTTTTAATAAAAACATACTTATTTATTATATAAAACATCACATGCAAGAACCTACATACCACAAAGCAAACACACCTTAGATTGAGCATTTTGAATGTTGAGTGAGTGAGCTATTTATTTGCATGTCTTAGATTTAATAATGAGAGAAACTTAGTTGTTTGATTTTTTAAATTATAAAAGTTATAAATATGTCCCTATAATCAAAACATTGCTTCATACCCAAATGTATCATAATAATACTAATAATAACCTACAAAAAAATCAACATAATGTTGATAAATACTAGCACCAAATATGTCGCCATGCTCCTTACACGGAGTATGTAACTATGTATACATTTACATGTCCCTCTCACAAATTGGGCATCCTCTATTATTTGATTATATTCAATTTCTCTTTTTCAAGACAATTTTTTATTTTTATTAGTAATTTTTAAGTATAATAATTATGGAAGGTGATATTAATTATTATATATAAAAAAAAGGATAAAATTTTATGGTAAAATAACACAAAATGAACCCCTTTTCGACCCAAGGAGTGTGAATCCACAATCCCGCAAGTAATTGGCAACTTGTACAATATTAAAAATAAAATAAAATAAAATATTATTATTATTATTATTATTATTATTAGCCAAGAGCATGGGCCTGAGATTGGTTGCTTGCAACTTGTTTCAATCTTCTTCCCATAAAACCTCCTGAAATTAATATATAATGATTATCATACAAGTAAATGGACTACCTCTACACAATCATCATTTCATTTCATTTCAAAATATCTTAGGTGGGACAAGAGCGAGACATTCTATTATTATAATTTATGTTTGCAGCAAATATACATAATAAAATAAATTCCAATTCAAAAGAACACCAAACACTATAAATATTACTACTACCTTACAACAATACAAAAAACTCCTACAACAATTATTCACCATAGCCTCGGAATCACTCTGTCGTGGGTGACCACAAACCATTGCTATATGACAGATACCCTAAATAAACACACACATACATTTATATAAATATACTCACATACAATTCCTTCTTCAAGCTCTAATCTTGATATCAATCTGCAAATGGAAAACCATCAAGCAATAGCCACAGAAAGCTTTTCTTACAGCTGGTTAATAGGCAAGAAGCTTCCCATCCCAGACACCGTCATTCCCGACGACGTCGAAAACGAGCAAACATTCAACTTCGACGTAGGCATCGCAGCGTCCCTAGTTCCGGCGGACGAATTATTTTCTCACGGGCAACTCATCCCAGCATATTCCGACACATCGAAACCGATGTTCTCGGCATCGACAATCCCCACCTCCCCGTTAACTTCGCAGCTACTCCAAAGAACTTCATCACTTGCTGACAACAAAAACCACATTATAAAATGGAGGAAGTCGTCCAAGAGAATTCTCGACAAGTGTTTCAAGTTTGCATGCAAGACTATGGGTTTCTCGCGGAGAACCAACCGAGTAAATGATCTTGAAAGAAAAGTGTTTGAATTGCAAACATGGAACGACTGCCCCACCGCGTCCCCAAGGCCTAGCTCGGCTCATTCGGTTGTCGAATGGGGCGATGTGATGTGGGTAGGGGGAAGTACCGATATTTGTCATCGAATGAAGAGAGTCGATAGTTGGAGGAGTTCATTGCATGCTTCGCCAAGTATAAGCCCGCGTAGCCCCAGCGATGCTTGCTGTGATGCTGAAAGCTCAATCCGAGAAGCCATTCTTTACTGCAAAAGAACAATTGGTATGTTGGGTACTCAAAAATTCACTCAAAAAGTGTTTTTACTGATCTTTACTAATGCATAATCAATTTTGAAATTACAGAAAAATGAGGAGTTGGATTTCCAACAGCTGAAGAATGTGAAGCAAAAACAGCGAAGAGATTCCAGAAATGGATGAAAAGTTTCGATGAGCCTCAGAAAGTTATTAAAAGAACTTCCAAGTTCCATATATATTTTGAGTATTAGAAGTAGGAAATTTCTCCAGTTCTACTATCATAAATATCAGTAGTAATCAGCAACCAATTCGTCTGACGCTATATTTAAGCTCAGAATTCTTATATGTAGTAATATTTTGGAATTACGAAATGTTTTTGTTTCTCTATGGAAAAGTAGAAAACAGATCCTTATCAAGAATGATGAAACAGGACAGCATATTTTTGGCATCATTTTATGAATGATGACACACATCTTCTTTGTTCCTTTTTTTAAAATTTTTTGCTTTATTCATTTATTTATTTATTTTGTTTCCTTGATGGTTGAAGGGACTCACATGTTTTTCATATCCTCTCTTTGTTCCTTTCTGGTGATTGTTGAATCATTTTTGTGAATCTGCTTCTTGCACTGATGGTTGGTCCACCACGGGCTTTATTGTGCGATGATCGCTGCAACAAATGTAGTAAGAACAGCAGAGGAAGGGGTAGCTGCAGATTCCCTCATAATCATATCTGCACATCTGCTTTGCCACTTAGTGTTATTAGAAAATTCGACATTTTTAAAAATGGGCATTTCTCATATTCTCATTCAGACACAAAACAGAAAGTGATCGAATGTGTACGAAAGATTATTTATCACACATAGACAACAGGGCCAGTTAAAGTAAGTCAATATAAACATTTCGCCTCTCCATCCGGTTGAAACTTCAAATACCAAGGCTCGCATTTCATTCAACATATTACAACAAACTAACAAAAATAACAAAATAGAATAGTCTCAAGGAGCCACATGCTTTGCTCAAAAATGGAAGCAGAATTCCTGCAACTTTGCATGTTCTAACTTCTAAGAAAATTGACAAGTCTTGACATAGTGTGAACCTTAAATTGACCCTAAACTATGGAATTCCCAATTCCCACAGCCATAACATAACAGACACTCTTAAGTTAGTTACAAGGAACAAAGACAGGCAGACAAAAGAGGGGTCCATGAAAGGAAACGTTAGGAGATTAGCCATGGAAAAACTCCCATCACTTTTTGTATCTGTGTTAGTTTTTTCCTTGTCTTACATTGCATCTATATCTTTTCGGATCAAAGTAGGACAATTATGAGTCACTAGTGTTCGAAATTTGATGTCCAAATGTATCTGAAAATCATCCATGATTGGGGGGACCAGTCCCTCCCAAGACATCCTACCTGTCCTCACTAAAATCTCCTCTATCCTTTTCTTGCCCAGACACCTTTCACTCACAAGCACATACACATACACATTGACATAAAATGGAAAGAGATGCAAAGTTGAACTGAACAGATTCGACTTCACAAAGAGATGAAAACAAGTCTTGAAATGCACAAACAAGAAAATAAGAAAGGAATATAATTAGGAACTTAGTATGCCAACAAAAAGAAAAGATAAAAAGGATTGGATCAATCGCAACACCTCAAATGAATCCTCCACGTGATCACGTAACAATGACAAAACTTATGCAATTGCTTTCAAACCTGGTTTCAAGTGTCTGACTAAATGAACAATCGCTAAGCATTGCACAACAAAAATAAATTAATATTCTCATTCATAAAAAGAAATGATCTTTGTAAACAAAGAAATAAGCTCTATTTATAGCACAAGGAGAATATCCTAAACATAAGGAAAAGCAGATGCACGACGTACAATCCAACCTAAAGTTAACAACCAGCCAAATGAATAATAATAATAAAGATAATAAATCCTCAAAAATCTTATCTGGACAAAACACTGTATAGCATCTTCATCTTTTTAAGTTCTCCAGAAACAATTTCAAAGTTCAGGCTTGATTACTTTGAAGTAAATTTCCAAAGGAAAAACCTCTTGCGATTATACTAGCGTATGCACGAATGAGGATAGTGCACTAAAATAATAATAATACATATGCGAACTGTGAGGTCAATGTACAAGTATATAACATCTTGCCTACTGCAGTGCTCATAAGTCTTCCAACTCTCGAGAAATTTAAGAATGGATGACCCTGGTAAAGTGTCTAAAGATACATATATAAGTAAGGAAAAAATAGAGTAAAAAGATTGTGTGTTGACCTGTGAACCCAGCACACCATCACATAGCGTACCCAACTTGTTGCTGTGAGATCTGGGAATTAGAGAAGAAGTCTTCAAGCTTACCTCCGGCATGTGGTACAACATAGAGACACTTTACAGGTGCATCAGAGCTTATTCTTCAAGATAGGTCATGTCCGATGTATTTTAATATTACACATTGTTATAACAATAACTGAAGCATAACAAGTGAAGATCCAATCTAGTTGGTATGTTTTCATGTACAACTTAATTTAATAAAGGATCTAGCTTTATAAAGATTAGCTCAAAAAGGTCTACACCTTTAAAGACTACAATCTTTAATTTCGTTTTGACTGAAAATACATTTTATTAAGCTTATTAAGTCTTCTAGGTAGGCATTATAAATATTCAATTGGTTAAAATCAAATCACTGTTGATTAAAATGAATGATGATTCACAGTAAACTTAGATACTCAAATTCAATGAAGCTTGACTTGTGTCCATAAGCCCTAAACAACTGCAAGTCTGCAATTATGAAATTTTACTTCATAAGAAATCATGGTCATGTTACTACTAATTATTCCCCCCTCAATCTCATCCAGAGTTATGAAGAGTTTAAACTCAAGCTGCATAGTTCTTCCACCATCACCTTTTAAAACATGCATATTCACTCAATAGTTCTGAATTCATAGCAAATAGAAATTTGATAACACCATCACATTATAACCTAACATTAGGATAAGATGGCAATGGAAAATTAAACTTGAAGAACTCCTACTACATGAAAGCAACTATGTGTTTCTTGGCATTATGCTCAGGACCAGAAGCATTGCTATGCACGTCAGGAAGGCAGACTTATCAACCATCGTTTTAACAACTGCAATGAGGACAACACCAATTGGTGGGCACTTCATGTTTCGATGTTTCATTTCACATGTTAGTGCTCAGGTTTAAATTCAACGCACCACAAACATTAAAGGCAATGAAAAGGATGCAAGAAGATGCAAACAAAAGATGACGGTAACACGTATCAGAACAGATAGATGCATGAGAAAAGGAACCTAAACAGGAGATTATGTGTGAATTCAGGGACTTTAGATGTCCACTCATTTTGGGTTTGGGACCATTTGTGCCCTACCATGGTGTCATGTGCAGCACTTCATGAATGACTGAAATGGGAGGATACAAACTTGATTCCAGACTCTTCACATTTCCCTACATTCTCTATATGTAAATTATTCATCTATGGCTCTCCAATTAGGGTTCAAATCTGTCCCCAAAATCCCTCCACTAACAGATTCCCCTCCCACGCCGCTGGAACTGGAAATCTTCACTACGCTTACCCTAAAATCACATATGTATATTTTTTAATAATAAACTCAAGGACGTAACCAGAGAAATTCAGCCTTCACTATCGAAATTCACGAATGATAATAACAATGATCCATTTCTACTGCAAATTGCTGATCATTCGAACTTCGAGTATCAGCAACTTTTACCCGAACTTCAATTTCAATATCCTTAAATATATATATATATATATATATATGAAACAGGTCAATGGAGATAAGTAGAAATTGATCACAGAATACGAACTGATCATTGTTGGCAGTTGAAGGAAGCTTCAGCGTCTGATCGTCTCCAAATGCAACAGGCCGACCCGCCATTGTTCCATAGCTTTGTATTTTTTGATATGTATATTGGGCCAACGGCCTGTGGTTAAAGCCCATTTGACGCATTGTCTCTTATTTTTACTACTCCCTCCTTCCCAACCAAACAAGGTGCAACATTTGCTTTTGGCACGAATAGGTAAGTAGTACTAATTAGGATAATTTAGAAATTAAGTGATATGATGGAGAAAGAAATATATATTTTATTTTTTTATTTGGATGATGTGAGAGGATAAAGTGCGGGAAGATTAAGTATAATTAATTATTTCCTATTTTGAAAATGTTGCATAGTATTTGGGACATACCAAAAAGGAAATGTTGCAGGATGTTTGAGACGGAAGGAGTATTATTTTTTATTGTTATTATTTTTTTAAAAAAAAATGTTTGAATAATAAAAAGTAATAAAATATCTATTTACAGGGGGTGAGAGTAGTAAATAAATATAATTTTTATAGTATTTATAATATATAATATTGTCACATTTATTAAAGAAAATAACAAAATATCTTAATTTTATATCAACGGGAAGGATTATATATATAAGAACTTATGAATAGTGTGTAATAATACATAGGTTGAAAAAAAAAAAAAAAAACTCTCAAATGAAATGAAAAGAGAGCACAACCTTAATGACAAAAACAAAAAGAAAATGGCGTATTTACTTTTGAAATTTTGATTTTGAATTTCGATTTTTAATAATAAAATTTTAAATTAAAATAAATTATTGATATGATATTTTAAATATAAAAATAAATTTTATTTTATTACAATAAATAAAAAAAAAGTATATGTTCAAGTTAATATTTTTTTAAAAAAATTATAATTGAAAAATCATAATGAATATCTAACGAATAAACACGTCAGATAATGTTTTATTATTTTTACGTCCAATAAAATATTATTTAACAAAATAAAAATAAATTAAAGTACAAGAATACAGAGAAACATACCTGTCAATTGAATAACACGAAATTTTTAAATATACATAACGTATGGTCCACTTCATTAGAGCTATTTCTCAAATCAAACAATATTTTATTTTCGTAGCAGATCACACAAGTTAACAAAATCCCCTCGTCAATAAATGCTAAACAATACTTAAAATTAGTGTTCAAATGTTTATAATACATTGAATTTATAATAAAAATATATATATATATAAACTATTACCCTTTATCAATCTATCTATTTTATTCCCTCCGTCCCATGTAATATGGGTTAATTATCGTAGACACGAGAATTTAGGTAGTAATTAATTAAAAAGTGTATTAGTAAAAATAATTATTATTTAGTAAAAATAATTATAGATTAAGATTAAGATAAGTAAATAGTTTAATTAAAATTAAAAAAATTTTAAATTTTAAAATTTAAAATGCGATTAAAATGTATAATTATATTTTCAAAAATAGAAAGGATAAATTATGTGGGACGGAAAAAAATAGAAAATAGGGACAAATTATTTGGGACGGGAGTATTATTTAGAGTTATTTACAATTATTATCATTTGCTAAATTAGTAAATGAAATATCTGTACACTAATAAAATCAGTACCAAAAAATAAAATAAAATTACAAAAATATATAATTAATCAGCTAGATGTGTTAATTTGTATATATATGCTTTTTCTAAGAAAAAAAAAAGGAAAAAAAAAGTAATATATTAAAATAATATAAACTAACAATAAAAATACAAAATTACACCAATTTTCGAAACAATTCCTAAAATGTACAGCTGTGTGTGGATCTGTAATAAAATTTAAAGAATTCAAATAAAAAAATAAATGCAAAAGTTTTAAACTTATATTAATTCTTCTGTAAATGCAAAATTAACAGATTTAAAGTATTGAAATAACTCTGAGTCATAAATAAATATTTTCCATAAAAGCATATAAACATCAAATGTGATTATATATAATAAATAGATTTTTATAAACATTTTTAATAACAAAATAGATATTATAACAACAAATAAATAAATAAATAGAACAGTACCATAGAAATTTGAAGACAATTTTTGTTTATAATTTTTTAATATTTTGATTTGTTTTGAACAAAATAAATTTTGAATAAAACAAAATAGTATACTCAATATTTAAATATAAAATAAATACTAAAAATACTAGAAGGCCTTGTTTCTTGTAATTAAACACTAAAAAGAATAAAAAATAAAACAAATAAAATGAAAAAACACATAAGAAGAGAATGGCTATATATAGAAATAAGCATGCACATTTTCAATTCTTTAATTTATAGTAATTGACAAATCAAATGAAAAATTACAAAGCTACCCAAAACTTTCTTTCTTCTACAATCAAACACCCCCACCAAAAATAAGAATTACATAAAAGCACACCTAATTCCCCAGATTACCAAACCCACCCCTCAATTATTGCCTCCGCCGCCCATCGGAGTACTGCGAGAGCGGCACCACCTCCTGCAGCGGCGTCGAGAGCGGCGTCGGCAGCGGTGAGTTCCGGCAGACCGGACACGACGCGTTGAGCTTCAGCCAAGCGTCCACACACATCACGTGAAAGCAGTGCCGACAGTCCGGCAGCATCCGGAGCATCTCCGCCTCCTTATACTCGCACAGACAAATCGAACAAACACTGTTGTTCTCCAAACCGCCGCCGCCGCCGCCGCGCTTCGAGAACACCAGTTTCGGATACGAGTTAATAACCGCCTGGTCGAGTCCTACGACGACGTTTCGCGACTCACTCTCCTCATCCTCCTCCTCCACGAAGATCATCCGCGGAAGGTAGACGCTATTCTCCCCCGTGCGGCGGCGATCCTCGCCCTGGCGGTTCCTCCGGCGCCGCGCGGCCGCGGATCGGCAGCAGATGTAGGATGCGAGCAAAACGGTTGAAAATAGAACAAGGAATCCGAGCGCGATGGCGATTGCGTATCCGAGACCGAGCGATCTGAAATTCTGCGCGAGCGAGGGGGAAGGCGAGGGCGGCGGAGGCGGCTCTGCTGCGGCGGAGGAGGACATCGGAGACGGTAAAGGAAGGTGGAGGAGGAGATGGAAAAGGCCATTTGAATGGAGGGGGTGGGTGGGGGGTTTTGATGCGGCATTTAATACTAGGGATTGGACACAGCAGCAGCTCATCTCATTTAATGGCCAACATGGGGCGAGGCGAGGACGAGGCCACCCCCGAATCAACACCATTAATTAATTATTTAATTAATTAAAAACTAATTACGATTCTTTTTTCGGGATTTGGCGATGATTCTTCGCTCCACTCTATCGTATTGATATTTGAATGGCTCCACAAATATTTAATTTTATTTATTTAATTGGTGTTTATTATTTTAATTATTTTTATTTTTTTTAATGTACTCCCCTATCCCGAAAAAAAAAAAAAAACATATAGATTTTTTAATATTAGTATTATATTAATTTGTAGTAAAAATGACAAAAATGTCCCATATTAAGTATGGTGTGTTATAAAAGTAATGACATTTGTATAATATATTGTAAGTTGTAAGGGTATTTATTATGTTACGGAGATGTACAGTTACTAAATTAAGAAATTGTATTTTTATCATATTCAAATATCGACATGCAAAAAATAAATGAGACTCTAGAACCGAAGGAAGATAGCATTATTTTAAATTTACTGCAAAATCGCATATAACCCTTTTGATTTGGGACTAATAGAGTAATATTTTTGTAAAATTGTGTAAATATTGATATTGTAAGGTGCGGTAGTTGTTCTTGTTTGAGCTTTTGAGGCGTTAGAGAATTGTTATTTAAAATAAAATTAGTTAGATTTTTTTTATATTATATTGAAAAATAATTGTATATTCAAAATATAATACTGTCCCACGATCGGTATCTTGGTCACTGTAGATACGAGAACTTAAGATGAGTATAATTAGTCCCACAATCGGTATCTTGGTCACTATAGATACGAGAACTTAAGATGAGTATAATTAGTAGATAATTAAGAATATATTAGTAAAAATAATTAATTTATAATATAAATTATTATAAATTAAAATTAATATAACTAATTAGTTTAATTAAAAAAAATTAAATTAGAAAATTTTAAAAAAAAGATTAAAATGGGTAATTATTTTCCAAAAAAAAGAAAAGTGACATGAGATGTGGAACGACGGCAACATGAACATGATAAGTGGACGGAGGGAGTATTAAATAATTTTAGAATTTAAAATTTAATCCTCTAACAAATACCTACCAAATAAACACATTAGTCTTTAAAAAGAAAGCTTTAAATGCATTGTTATTAACACACAGTAAGTCACTAATTATTTGTATATTTTAATTTTTTTTTTTTCCTATTTTGTCAAATCTCTATAAATTATTTTGACTAATTATAATTTATGCACGAGATCTGAAAAACAGAAACACAGAAGACCGCAATCTCCTCTTGTCTTGTTCAGAATAAAATAAAAAATAAAAAATAAAAAATAATAATAATAATAATGATAAAAGTGTCCTTTCTCCTAACATTTTCGAATCTTCTTTCCAATTATAAGATAATTTAAAATTATTGGTTCACACAGTTAGGTCTAACCTTTGGAATAAAAAATTAATATTATAATATAAATCAGATGTAGTTTTTTTTTTTTTTTTTTTAAATAATTTGCATACAGTTTAGTTGAGGTTGGAATTTAATTTATTTAAATACAGCAACAAATATGTTGGCTATTACTGCAACATTTTTTCCAATTTCTCTAATAAAGTCAAACCAATTAAATGGACTTCGATGCAATGAAAATAATTATAATTAAATTAAAATAGATAATACTATATTGTATGATTTGTATTTTCGATAAAAAAAAAAAAAAAATTTAAAATTGTATAAATAAACGTAAACAATTGTTTCTAACAAAGTAAATTATTTCCAATAGTTTAATTATTAAATACAAACGTCACTGTTTTATGTTTAAAAGGAATAGTTTAAAAAATAAACGAAAAAATCCCAAAGATGCAGTAAAATTTATCTTGACAAATTTAGCAGTTTGTTTAAGGGCGTTTGTTTGTGGGGTTTATGGTTAAATTTGAGACAGTATAATTTTTACATTTTGAACCGAAATAATTATACAATTTTAAATATATAAAAAAATATTGATGTGTTATTTAAAAATAAAATTAATTTTTAATATAATATAAAATATAATAATAATAATTAAATTTACTTTTTATTTTTTTTATAAACTATAAATGAACAGTTAATTCTGAATTGAAAAGTAACATACAAAACCAGCATTTGGTTATTTTTCCAAATCAATTTTTTTACTATTTAATTTTTATTATTTTCAATAAAAATTATAGTACTTCTTTCCAAAAACATGTTCATTTATTTTTTACACGATTTTAATATATAGAAAAAAGTCATAAAATGTGGTATGATGTTTTTGCTAGAAAATAGTAAAAATAAATATATTTCATCCTTATATAAATGTACTCTTTATATTTTTATAATAGTTCAAGAAATAATATTATTTTGTTTGTTACTGAATATGTATAAGATATATTGATGTTGCTGCCCTTATATTTTATATGTATGTGTAACAATATGTTTGTAATTTATGTAAAAATTGAATGTATTTTAGGGTGTGTTTGATTGTTAAACTTCCTAAATTTTTTATTATTCATTAATTTTTTTCCGTTAAAAATATCAAATTAAATATCTATTTTTATTTTTTGTATTATACTACTATAAATCAATTTTGCATTCACATCGTACAATTATTTCAATTTAAAATTTTTATTATTCATATCTCACTTCAAAATTCAAACCCCCAAACAAACACACCATTAGTATTAGTACGTGATTACTTTTATTATAATAGAAATTCGATACTTTTGAATGAGACGACAAGAATAATAAAAATAATATTTTTAGTTTAGACCGGGAGTATTTTTTTTTCAAAAAAAAAAGTAAACTTACTTTTTTATGATATCATCATTTTTTCGTCATAAAATATTATACTCTTTCCAACCACACATTAATATTTTGTTTTCTTATATTGAACGTCCAATAATTATTATCTTATTTTTTTATACACAATTTTTTTATCCATCGTTCATTTATCTTTTTTAATTTCTACTTTACAATAAAAGACAAATTTTTCAATTCATAACAAAAAAAAAAAAAAAAAATTACCTAAAAAACCCTACAAATGTTATTTTAGGACAAAAATTTTGAATGGAGAAAGTATATGAAAATTGTTATTCATATCAAAACTCAAATACAAATCAAACCAACCATAAGTATTTATAAAAACATTAATCTCAATTTCCGTATTTAGAGTTCCGTGCAAGAGAAACTCCATCAAATTCAAATAACTCCAAATCCATATTTTGAAGAAAAAAAAAATAGAAGATCGAAATGATGGATTAGAAGTAATAACTCTAAATTTGAGCAATTTTCTACTTTTAAAATACATTTATTATTTGTATTTTTGTGCAAAATTTTTCAGAATATCTAATTTAAAGTATTCACTATTGATATATTTTGTTTGTTAAGATCCAACATTATATAGATAAGATTTATTCCTTTAAAATCATATCAAGCGAAACTTAGGTCAAAATTGTCCATATTCAATGAACGGACAAAGCAGACAAATCAATGAACGAACTTTTTACGCAAAAGCTTAACTTATTCTTCAGTAAACGTAAATCTCTAGACATAAATATTATTCATCTAAATCATAAGGAAAATGTTCCCAACCCTAAAAAACATTTTTTCGGCCAAACGTTAAGTCCTATACGACCTATGATACTAAGAAAAGAATATACGCTGAATTCCACCATAGGATAAAAGGGCACACGTGAAGTAGGAAGTTATAGTAGTTTTATTTGTTTCAACTACTTAATCGTCTAATTGTCCAATTGTTTCAACTGCTAAATTAACCGCTCAACTGTTTTATTTGGAGCCTATAAATACAACCAAATTGTATTGTATTATTCATGTTTTCACATTTTCGTTTTACCAATTCTTCTAATCACTCTTCAAAATTCAAACAGTAAGAAGTTTTTTATCGATAGTTTATCGGGACATCCATAAGACTTTGTGGAAATTTTCCATCCCTTACCTCGCCTAGTTGCCGTCGTACTCCTTTTCCAGTATATTTTATTCTACTTTCCAGTAGCTATATATATATATATATTGCTTTTTAGAAATCAAGATATCATTATTCTTCTTCATTCATTCGATTCACACACACTTCCATGTTCACATAACTCACACGAAATCTGCCCAAAGAGAAGCAACCAATGGATTTTTGGTAATTTTTTTCTTCTTTGAATTGTTTAAATTAAATTTTTGATAATATTATGAAAGAACATAAAATTGTTAATTGTCAATTCCTATTCCTACATAGTATTTTAAACGGGTATAGGTGATTCGTAGCTACTAAGTACGCTTGAGGTCTCTCAACTTGTTTAATTGGTAATATGAATTTGATCTTGATCAAAGAGATGTATTAGAGGAGTATGGTCATTAGTATAATTAATCCAATTTTGCAATTGAAAAAAAAAAAAAAAAAAAAGAAAAAAAGAACATCATATTTCTTCAAGATATCACAACAATAAAAATTACTTAATAGTGGGAGATGAATAGGTGCATTGATATCATCAGTTCTAGGTCTTCGACCTTTTGTAGACTGCAAAAATTCAAACTCAAATTGATGGTCGAACAACATTGAATTTCAAAAAAACATGGAGAGTACTAACAAGCCAAGACCTCTCTATAATAAAATATCGTGCAAAAAAGGTCATGTTCAATGAATCTACTATCAATTGTAAACATTCATTAATACTCTTCTCCTTTGTGATGATTACAAACTTCATACAAAACACAAAGAAAAATTAAGTTTTAAGTTTTTAACATAGTTAAGAACAATTCAACATAGAGAAAGCAAAATTTAAACACAAAATAATAATAATAATAATAATAATAATAATAATAATAGATAAATTTAAACACTATAATATTAAATTTTTAAAGTCAATACAATTTAAAATTCAAAATAATTTAAACATCACGAAAACAACGATTGAATATTTGGGATAATAATTTATTTTTCTTAATTAACTTATATAC